ACATGTAGGTGCATTTCAAAGAATACTTGGCATTGGAAGAGACATTTTTCTACTTTTCGGATAAAAAAATTAACTCAAATTTTTACGGTAAATTCAGTTTGTCATAAATTGTCATTGCATTTTGAGACTTTTTGCAAATGTACATGGTGCTCGTACGTAGCCCAGAGTCAACACAGCACCTCCAGCTGCTTACACACAGGCTATGGTATAAGGAATTCAACTGAGCATCTTCACATATATTGACCTTCAGTGGGAAGCAGAAGTAAATTGCTACATAAGAAACTAATGATGCAGGCTGCACAGGGGTATATCTGGCACTCCACCCACCAGGCTCTTCAAACCATAGATTTCTTGGCTGGCTGATGGTTGGTCCACTCAGAGAGAGCAGGCTTTCCCAAGCTAGACACCTGGTCCCTTAAAACTCCTTCTCTGGTACTGGGGTGGGCACTTAATCACAGCCCCTATAACCCCCCCCTCCCACTTCAAAGGCTAAAGAGCTGTATTCTCAAGGACTGACTAATGCACTGACCCATCGCCTCTCCATTGCATGAGAGAAAAGCTGCAGGTGTAAACTTTGAGCTTGATGAGATTCTGGGTGCAGGTATGACGTTGTCATTAAATAATGTACACGGTTGACACAATCTGTGCATGTGTTTACCTCATCAAGATGGCATATGCTTTGTGCGATACCAAAATTGGAAAACAGGCTGTTTTTGATGCGCTCTTGCAACACATGGTTGATAACAGGCTTACTTACTTTTTACAGCATAACTGAATATATGAACCCTAAGATACACGTAAATACTGTATGTGCCAATAAAAGAGTTAAGTCTAGCTCCTGTATGTTCTCATTACACGCATGCTGCAGTATCTGACTGGTCAACTCTAACGGCACACCGAAAACACATGACTGATAGGAGCTTGTTTCGGCACTGAAAGCGCTGGGTATTTTTGTTCCATTACTTTTCAAGGAAATGTGATGACGACAGCTAAAAAAGGGAAGATGCACTGAATGCATCGGTGATTGGCTAATCTGGCCGATCCATCAGCAAGGGTAGTTGAGAAGTCAGTTGTGCCTGCATGGTGGCATGTGACAAGCTTATAAGTAATTATAAATTATAGTAATTATTATAATTTAGTTATTTAATTATAATATAGTCTGGTAATAGTAATAATTACCAGACAGGAAAGTTGCACGTGCTTGTTCACAGCATAAGTGCCCCCTGTAAGACTACGTCGTGGTGCTTCCAGGAGAGATTTAAACTGAAATAATGGGAGGTCTTATCTTTCCAGCTGGTAATCAATCTGATATGACGGATACCATGCGAAGGTGCAGGTACCGGTCATTCTTTCAAAACACTGCATAAAAGCAATCACTAATTGCCATGTGTGTTTATTCTGTTATCGTGAGCTTACTGATGCCCTATCTCTTGTTTTCTTTTTTCTTTTTTTAAACGAAAAGTACATATTTTTGCTGTTTAGTATAACACGTCATTCATTCAAGTCTTTCATTTTTATATTTTTGGTAAATTTTTGATTCAATGTACCCCCCAAAAAGAGCAAACATACACATAAGTTTCCAACAGAAAAGGGACACTATGTTTTGCATAATTGGAAATCCAGCAATACAGCAGAAAACAATACAATAAGCTTAAGGTCGGAGCATGAGGGAAATTTAAACACATTTTTGACGTAACGACGATACAAGTGAAAAATCTTACTTGAAAGGCAAGGAAAGGTGAACATTTGAGATTTACAATTTTCAAAGAGGTAAGTTTGAAAAGAAAACAATTATTTGCTGTAAGGTATATAAGAAAAGTGAACAGCCAGTTCAAGCGATCCTGTAGTTATTGCTTTCTGAAAATCCAAATACAACAAAGCACTAACAAGAGCCACACAATATACCGGTACACTGTTTGGAAACTTTCCTTACTGTTGTCAGTCTTATGTGACAAACACAACCTAAGAGCATGGACAATTCAGGGTTTTTTTTCAAAACCTCTTTGGGAGAAAAAAATTAATCAATGAGTGGGAGTGAGAACAAAAAACACTCTCCCTGCTCCTTTAAATACAAGAAAAACATTTTTTTGATGCATAAATTAATTTGATTAGCTTGGGAACTCATTCTTGATTTCCAATGACAAACTTGAGTATCCTTTGTTCACCCTGAAGGTCAAAACTTCAAGGCATGGGCGCAAGAGTTACATGTAATCTTGCCATTAGCAACCCCCATGCTGTGTCAAAAGATGACAGGAATAAAAATAAGATTTCAAGATGCGCACAAAGACAGATCATTTGCCTAATCTTTTTACCCTGCGAGGAATTACACTTTCACAATGAAATGCAAAGATCTTCAAAGTGTAAGCAAGCACGTCCTGGCCTTGTGACATGGCATGAACCTTCTTCTTGATTCTATTGAACATTCTCACAAAGACAGCTTTTTGGGGAGGGGAACAAAAGTTGAATGAGCGCGTTCAGGTACGGATTCTCAACAGCGTTGAGATGCTTCTAATGAAAGAACTGAAACTGCCGGCATAAAACCCTTTCTTTGCACAATCAATGCCCAACATAACTGAGCATGGGGGTTGCGTGACACTCTAGCTGGGAGTGGGAGCTAAAAAGAGTTCCACGACCCTGGACTGAGGATGTTATTCACAGCCAAGGAAACTTAGTGTGCAATCGGAGTTATCATGGTTGTACATGTACAGTGTATGCAAGCTGCATTAAAACTAATTCACACACAATATGCACTATGCATGCTTATGGAAATTCAGAGTATACGCACTCCCAACAATAACTGAAATAACAGAAGTCTTCAATGGCTTTAATTCATAGTTGTGGGTTCTGGAAGGGATGGGGTTAGAGGCTCCAACCATCCTCTACTGCAGTGGACAATTTGGGTTGTTGCAATTTGGCAAAATTTTCTAGCATTTACTCTGTCTGGAACATCCACTATTAAACTAAGGAAATGACATCTTCAAAGCATGGTTACAGCTTCACCCATTTTTGTCATAACCCTTCCCTCAATCCTGCAGAAAAAAATACGGTCCATCACTACACACTGCATTCTGGAATAGCCACAGGCAAACACTGCCTAGTTGTGGAGAAAGAAAAATGGCTCAATTGCAATACGACATTGAAGCATAATTCTTCTGTTTCAGTCCAACCGACAAACCCTGCTGTTCTTGGAATCTTCCAAAAAAGTACCGGTAACCGATATCCATGCACTTCCTGACGTCCAGCAGTGTTACCAAAATAGCACCCCTGCTTTCATAACGCCATAGCAACCAAGCCCCACAACCATATCACAATGCCCTGGTTATTGCTAATGAGTTGGACTTCTAGCTCAACTCTCGTCCGTCCGAAAGACCCGACACACATCTTGCCAAACCATTGATTACACCCACCACGCTGAGGCTGTAAAGAGTTCAACAGGCCGTCTATTCCTTCGTTAGTAGAATTGGGTTGACTAAAGCAAAATGTATGCACTGAGCCTCATCATTATGCTGCAGCAACTCATATGAAATTTAATTAATTCCGTGGGTACAGCAACAAGTGCACACACAGGACATGAGAGGCGTGACATGAACTGTGAACCGTTGATGAAGAGTCCTTGGTATGTACTTCCATAGGCTGGGTAGGGTATTACACGAACATATCATTTTAATGAATTACTAGCAGGAAAAGTGGAATGTGAACAAACACTCAGGTGCATGAGTGGCAAGGCTGGTAATTGAGCAGAACAGGATATACATGTGCTCACAGTGTGAATAAGTACCAGTCCTGGTACTAGGTCTACCGAGTCAAAAATAGATCCTTGTTTGTTTTTTTGTTGGGTTGTCGGGGTATTTGTTTTTTGGGGAGTTAGGCCAAGTGAACATTTGTAAGAGGCTGTCGAAATTAAATACATGTACATGTACGTGTCCTTCTCTGAAAGAAAGGTATATTTTATCACAATATGAAACAATGAGTTACATGTATGATGGCAAGCCTCTGTTTCGGTATGGCACTAGAGCTCCATAGTCCATTCCAGTCCGGAGAGATGACATTTTTGTATAATAATTCGTTCTATGGAGTTCAATTCAACCCAACTGAGAACTGAGAAAGCTGAGTCTAATTATAGACTTTAGCTTAGAAGACTCACCCTAAATTCCCCGAGCAATCACGATCTTTTTGCATATTTTTGTTCATGAAACCTGAAATTTCAGAGATAAATGATGTTACTTCTGACAAAATGGCATAGTCCAACTTCTCTCTTGGGTGCCACTAGTCGATCTGTATGATCGCGCAATCGCTCTCTGCAATTAGTCGATTCCCCATGAAATCCCCAACTTTACTTCCCATTTTTGAAACATTCTCTTACAACCATGAATTAGAACAAAAAGGCGATTGGCTGATGACAGAAACTGTGACAAATCAGACAGTAAAATCAACCAATCTTGCAAAATCAAGCGATCGCACAAATTGAAAGATCACGCCCAACATATTTTCATAGCGTGGGTCACATACATGCACATGTATGTGCAATATGCTACAAAAACTGGCCATATGGTTGCAACACATCCTGTCTGGCTCCTTGCTCTCAATACATGTATGATTAATAATCACTGCACTACACTTTTAAGTTTGAATCTTGCATAATGTTAAGGTTGTTTGGGTGCACGTGTATCTGCGTGGTCATCTTTGAATTTGATAATTTTGTTCATTGTGGCACAATTTATTTCCAGTGGAATGGGAAGCGCACGATGACTGAGGTGAAGTCATTTTCAAATGGGGTAGTGTGCATTCTCTCACATCCCCAACTACCCACCCATTCCTAACATGCCTAAGTAAGACCCTTCTATCCACAGACATGACAGGTGCTCCAAATCTTACAACATGCAATTTCTCCAAAAAATGCATTGGCTGGGTGTTGTACTCAAGATTCATCCCAGCCGTTGAAATGTTTGAAAGAAGATGTAATTCTTATGAATAACGAATAAAAAGAAACGTTAGCTTACACCAGGAAGTGATAGGCGAAGCACTTCCAACCAGTGGGACGCTCCAGAAAGTTGTACATTCTTCCTTGAAAGCTCATCTTTTTCATCGTCCTCTTATTCATATGCATGGAATACTTCCTCTGTAATTCTCTGTTCGTCTGGAAGTCGCCACCACCGACACAGACATGATTTAGGTTTCTGTTTCCCACGCCACCGATAGCGGTGGTAGCGACGCCTGTGGTGGTCTTGGGCAGGACCTCGGCAGCGGAAGGCGTCCCGGTGGCCCCGTCGGCCGGCAGCGAGTACATGCAGGCATCCCCAGATGTCGAGCTGTTACTAACGGGGTCCATCTCCATCTCTAAATCGGCTAGGCTTGAGCTCACGGTGCTGTACGAGTAACCGCTGGTTTTCCGTGAGTTAGAACGACCATCAGCTTCGGCCATCCTTGGATGAGCTCATCTGGGTAGGCTGGGCGAAATTTCCGAGTAAAATGAAATCGAAGATGAAGTCAAAATCCAGATCATGCAGATCGTCATTCCGAACACGAAATACGCATACCCAATGTGTAAGTGGTTCATAATGCATACGATCATGCATACGTACACTGTATGTACAGCATGCATGGCAGGTATTCACTTGCACAGGCCTACTGCATTGTTTATTGCTCTTGTGCACTGCACGTGTGGCGAGACAGCTAATGCGCATGACCAATTCAGTGATAGCTGATTGGCTCGACACAGGAAATATAATATTCATTTTTATAATGTACACCAATAACATTTCCGTAAAGTTTGGGAAACTCACGAGGGCGCTATGACTCTACTGATGAGTTTCCCCATCTATTTTGTGGACTTAATGCGAGTTCAACAGGACAGGTGCTTCAGTTTATAGTTTATGAAGACGGCCATCGGCATCGTTTCATCTAGAGTCCTTGGCCGTTTTCCAATACTCGACTTGGGCGCCGTCTAAGGCTTCAACTGTTTTTTTTTACTTCCTGACTTTAAGATTGTAAGCGCAATAGTAAGTCTGACAGTGCCACAACTTCAAAAGAGAGCAAGTAAGATGCAAAAGAGCCAAACATTACAGTACTTCAATTTAAGTTAAACGCTTCAGGCTCAAAATCGGGGATTGGTTTCCCACACGAAGCCTGGGACGGAGACGAAGTTGAGTATTAGTAAACGGCCCTTGTGTGTATACAGCCCAGTTTGATGAGCAGGATTAGTTCAAGGGTCAAGAGAACTAGTATTCCAGGCAAGAAATATCGAATAAATATACTCTCTTAGTTTCACTTTTGACTTGTTTTTACTTTCAGAATACAGGAAGACATAACACGCACATTGCTAATGATACACTCCAATGGATTCGACTCCATCACCTTCCAAAACACAGCGAAATGATCACTAAAATCATATGGTAACACAAACCTCACTGAAACATTAATGCAGTTGCAAAAAAAAAATTGTAGGCCTAAGTGAGTAAAGTATGTCAATATATATATATAGCACACATATCATGTGTAAATGTAATGACCAAACAAATCTGTGGGGCATTTGAAGGCCATAACAGCATTGTATTTATCAATTCGTGAATAACAAGCATTACAAATTACATTACATGTATTTGCCAAAAATGTGCAACTCCATAACAGATTCTCTCTATTGACTAGTTCCGATGCTAACTATATTCTGCCGCTCTGTCCACTGGTTATTTGCCTCTTAGCTCTCTCTCAAACATCTGTGTTGAACTATTGTGCAAAATCACGTCACTGCTCACATTTTGCTGCTGTTTGCATCTCTCATTACACTCATGGTAAATGACATCTCACAGAATTATTTCATGTCAATGGTTTCCTCTGTACTTACTTACGAGAAAGGCTGGTTCTAACCAGTTATGCAAGTGGGCTTCTGGGCCTGGTACCAAATGACCGACTAGATAGCTAAAGGAACCAGGATATAGAAATATTTTATACATTTTACTAAAAACCCTTGAAATTGCATCTTTGGGATTCAATTAACCTGATTTTAAATTTTTGTTTGGAATTTTGAGCCATTTTTCATGCTTTTTTGTGCTAATACATATTTGCATATTCGTGAGCAGAGCTATGATGTCACCCAAGGCACTGAATCTCAAAGTTGCACCGATTTGTGCACAGAAAATTTCTAGATTTTTTGTAACCACTGCTATGACAAGATTTTATTTTTTTGGCAATTTATTGCTATGTAAGTATATGGCAATAATCCAGCAAAACTCCTTTTCACAGAAATGTTCCCAGATAGCAAATTTGGGGTTCACAATTTCAACACAAAAACATGCAACCTGAACCATGTCTTCCTGGATTTACATCAAAGCAAAAGCGCCCTCACTTGTCCAGAAATGCCTGGTCAATTTTTAATGTTTGAAAAAGTGCACCGTTCAGTTCACGTAACTCAAAAAAGATGTCAAACAGTCTTCACACATGGAAGAAGAGTACAGAGATACACAAAAACTGATTCTAAGAAAACTTCATTTCCTGGTTCCTTTAAACCATCCATTGTTTGCGTGATGATGGTCAAACAACAGGCATCACTTGAACATGCCGTTATGCAACTGATGGCGTAGTTGTTATAATTACCTACACATCTTTGTATATTCTTTATCCGTTATATATACTCTTTTTTCCTGTAATTACATACAACCAACTAATCACAGTTGTAATTGAACAGGTCACAAATCACTGATCAGTCATTAGTCAACTCACAAGCTCTTTAAATAAACAATGACAGATACATTCTTCAGTTCTGACCTGACTTGAAAAATGGGTTGTGACTAATTCAGGCCTAAGGCAAACAAACCTTGCTACTAACAAAGCTCTCTGCAATTTTTACTTGTTTGTGAGAAGAATTAATGCTGTTTTTCTTGACACTCTTCAATACAGGTAAGGGCTTGAGGGTGGACCCATCACTTTGAAACCTTTGGGCTCTGTTTTGAATTTGTCACTCAGGACCCAATAATTTATCAACTGGTATCCAAAAACACACCCCTTGCCCCAAATTTCCTTGAAGTGTGCACCCAGTAAATGACAAAAATCAAGAAGAAACAAACTTGGACACTAATAACAGAGGGCCGAATTGCGCAGAGCTGCCAAAAATATCAGGATCCAAATTACTTGGCTGTGGCTTGTGCTTGCACACAACTCGATGGGGAATGGCTGTAGCCACATCCATAGGCTTGTGTGTAATTTCAAGCCACATTCAAGTGATTGGGACGTGGCCCTACTGAGCCAAATCAGCAGAGAACCAGCAAGAAGAAATATGCAGCGCACGACAATTTGACCAGTATGCTGGCCAAATTGTGACCAGCATTTGTTCAGCCAATGTTTGTTTTGCTGAGTGCTCAACAGCTTGGTGAAATCGGCCCCTTGTATATCATTTTGAACTCCAAAGAGAGTCGGTATCAGGGTGCATATCAAGAGAAGCCATTCAGAATCACATCCCAATTTCACCCATCACACATTGTCTTCCAAACTGACATCCCGGATTAACTTGTAATGCATCTGCGATGTCATGTCGGGAGTTCTACAAGTTAATCCCAGATGTAAATCAGAGAAAAGGATGTGAAGTGGGGAGAACTGCTATGGAATGCTGATTGTCTTCTCGTGATATCCACATCCTACTGGTGAGGCTGTCCACAAAGAACGCCAAAGAACATCTTCATCCTCCAAGCAAGTTGTAGGAAGTCAATCTTTGTAATTTTGAGCTTGGAATGACATTTATGGGCGTCAATTAAAATATCACTGGCTGGTTTCAGAGAGGTTCCACACCCTTTGCACAATATGCATCTGTGGATCACAAATATGATGAGGTGTATCAATGTCAACATTTTTAAGAGCAAGAAGGAATCCTCGTCAGTCTTTTTATCAGAGCATGTACTGGTAACTTTGATTAGGGAGCACCTCTAAGGAAAACATGTTTTTTTCTCATCTTATCTGTCCAAATAAATATTGAAGCATCCAAATCGAACGCAGTGTCATTTGTCTTAAGAGCTCAACTAAACAAGCTTAAAAAGGACTTTTTTCTGTTCAAGCCAAGATACAAATTCTGAATGTAGACTGTGTCATTCGGAGAAAACGAGGGGAACCCTCGCCCTGTGTTTGTAGTGGATAACCCCATGTGCATGCCAAACAGTGCATGTTGTTTGGCTCACATGCCATGTTTTCCTCAGAGGTGCTCTTTAAACTATTCTAATGTCTGACCCTCTCCTGCATCAATCAATTTAACTTCCCTAAGAGCAAGCTCAGATTTATTCTTAATGGCGCATTGGCTAAACTTGATGAACAATCAGTGTCCGTTGTCTCAAAGTTAATTTTGGAACTTATCATTGCTCAATCTTGACAGAAGGTTGTCACACACGATTTAACAGCATACCGATGTCTTAAGGTGCACAAACTGCACGTTAGTGGGAACACAGAAGTAATGCTGGAATTGATTAAATTTATGAGAATACATTAAAAAAAAAGACGTCTTCAAACACAAAGATATTTTCACAGACCCCTCAATAGTTGATGTAAGAGACATCTTGTGTTTTTGGCATTTATGCCAAAAGAATGTTAAGATGGCAAGCATCTTGCAAAAAAAATTCTAATTAATTTTGACAATTAAATCATCACCATACGCAAACTGAACTAAAATATTAAAACCACTTCTGCTGACCTGATAAAGATTCATTACTGTGACTTATTTTCTTAACATGTGGAAACAACAGTTTCACAGAAAAGTGGACTTTAACCTAAATGGAAATGATTACCGAAATACAAAAATATACAAATACACTCATGCACATGTTTATACTAGCATGCACGACTGTTTGGCCACTCACATGTACAACTTATATTTGCATGTACATACCTGCCTTATTTCTACATAAGCTTTTGAAGCAACATGTCAATTAAGATCGGCATTAATTGCATCTATATATTTTAATCTCAATTCATGTTTGAATTCATGATTAAATTGACGTCTTTCATATCGTCATTCTAGATGATTATGTCATACCATAATTACACAGGTCATGGCAACACTGAATGAAGACTCATTGCCTGAATACTTCAAGATATTGAAGTCTAAATATTCATTTCTAATTTCTAAGTAGAAATAGAAGTATACCTTCTTAAGGGAGGAAATATCCTAATATATATGAGAGATCTGTACTATATTACTGCAAAACATATGGTTGACATTGCCTAGGAGAAACCGAGATTTGTCAACACATCGGCTTTTTTTCTTCTAACTGACTCCAACCACACAACATCTCTGTTATTCACCACTGAAGATTTCTACTACAATATTTCCCTGCCACCTGGTTCAATTTCCGTGAAACGCATACACCTAACCATTTCATCATTCTTCAAGGCACCCTCCGATAGATCCCCTGAAGTCAGGACGCTAAGTGAATGGCCCATTACAAGCGATCAACAGGCACCAACCTGCTCACAGAAGATATAAAAATTGATCGAAAAGAGAAATCTTCTCCAAGAATATGAGACTAGCATTACACCTTTCAGAATAGATGATTATTGAAGTGAGCAAGATGGAAAATTTGCTTAACTCTCCACAGCATCATTTCCATTCGCGACCTCTGAACCATTCGCCTTGGGTTGCCCCTCACTGTGCGTCTCAGGTGTCGTCTCCTGCGTCACCCCTCCTGTGTCGTCATGGTCGCGGGTGGGCGGCACTCTCCGCTGCTCAGCAACCTCCCGTGTGAAAATGGCGTCATAGTGGTACAACAGTGTCGCGACGAAGGAGTTGATTTGGGCAAGAGAGACCAGAGACATGGCCTTGCTCCGAGGCCAGACCAGGTTGGGGCTGAACACGATGGAGATGTTGGCGGCAGACATCTTGGTCTTGTCACTATTTTCTGAAATCTGGTGACAGAAAAACAAAAAGTTTAAAATATATGACATACATGACTATACCATTATTTTTCCTCTGATCAAAACATATAATTTCCAAAAATGAATTATTGTCAATAATTTGAAATATCTGAAGTGACTCTCACATTAGTCTTAGCTCTAACAGTTCCTTAATCCTCCAATTTTAAGGAAAGTTCTCACACACCCTAATAAGGAGAGCTAAGGGTAGTTTTCAGCAGTCATTCAAGCATGAAGATTTAAAACAAAGTTAACTACAACTGTTTTGCCCGCTGGAGGCCATCTTTCAACTTTGCTGTCAACTAGAGTGCTGCATCCATCATTCGCTGTCCATGTCAACCACCTCTCACTCTACTCAGAAGTTTCATTCATAAAAGCCACCAATTTTCACAGAGGAAATGCCAGCTTAAGAGCTATGCATAAAACCAACACCCCCGGTTTCAACACAAGAAACTTTTAAGGAAAAGAAAACACCCAAGGAGATCAGTTTAAAGTGACAATGATGGCCTGTTTGTTTCACGCGAATCCACATCGCGATCAGTGATCTGTCAATGGTTCGCTGACACCAGATCCTGCCTAATGACTAGAAAGAACCAGCTTTGGGATCACTGATCGCGATCCAGATCCGTGTGAAACAAACAGGCACTCTATGTTCTATTTGAGTGTACGCAAGGCTAGATGAGCTCATTGGTTAACCTTGTGTAGCAGGTCCATCAAATGCTGTAAGATGATGTAGTTCCTCTCGGGAAGCTTCTCACAAATGATACTTCGGCAGGCTGCTATTCTGGCATCGTTGTCTTGAAGATCTGAGAGAAAAGATATGGAAAAACAGTGACACCTCAGTGGCAGGGAGTTTTCAAACTCCATTTGAACATCTGGTGCCGTGACCATATTGGTTTGTGCAGTGCAGTTCCAAACAATGTCATCATTCTTGGAACAAGGAACATCCCACACTTATGGCAGGGTCTTGCAGTTGTACGGGGTGGCTCCAGAGTGCCGTAGTGGGCGACTACAGTACTTATCAACATTGCTACACCCACTGCCGAATCTGTGGTATACTGGGCACAAGAGGGCCAGCTTTGTTATAAACCTGCAGAGTAAAGGCCGCATTGTACTTGGTTGCAAAAGTGAACACGAACGAGAAGCTGTTATGTCAGATCCACTATTCATTCTCTGAATTTGTAAAAGTCCAAGACAGTTGAATCCAAACAGTTGTTGCTCCAGTTTAGCATTAACCTGAAGTAAGAATCAGCCTCAGGCCTTTCACTAAGGGTAAGTGAGCTCGAATTTGATCACCGCTGAAACAACCCACTGAAATACACCTGGAGATTACGGACTTTGCAGAAATGAAAGAGGTAAAAACAACCCACTTGATGCCCCCAAAAAGCACCAACAATGTGCCATGAGTTTCCTACACCACTAACATTTTAAAAGGACTTGTTATGCTTCTTGAAATGTACCTCAAAGTGAAGAGTTAAGGTATGAAGCCAGAATGAAGCTAGTGCAACACATGATTAGGTTGGGTTTAAGCAAAGAAGTTTTTGTACGTTGTACAACATTTGCAGTCAACAAGTCTATCAAAACCACCGTTGGAAACCGTTTTTAGAAACTCACAGGTAGTCTCCATAACCACCACCCCCCAAAGAGCCCAAAATAGAAAAATTTTTGAGCGTACCGTGCATATTCATGATTTCATCGTAAAGCTCAAAGGTCATGATAGGCTCGGGGAGCTCCCGGAAGAATGTCTTGAGGATTAGAGCTGGAACGTGTACATCCAACAAGGCATTGTAGTCCACCTCCTTACCCTCGTTGTACATCCGCTGAACCTCCTTGATTGTGTTGGCATTGGGGCAACGTCGGAAGATTCCTTCCGTCTCCAAACCTAGGAGTATAGACAAAAACCGATCCCTTGTGATTTCTGATTACAAGTACATCAGAAATTTCTTTACAGTGTGGAAAAGCATCAACAGAAATCATAATACAGCCCGTTCATACATCATGTGAATCAGCCACTTCGGCATTCAAACAGCCCATGCAAAAATGAAGGACATAGTAGGTCACTCGAGAACATCAGTATGTGAATAGATGGCCAGCCCTATCACCAGAGCAGTATGCTGATTTCACACATTGAGCATGCTTCAGCTAGCGTGATATCAGGTGCTTTGCTCTTGAATAACCTTTTCTGAAACATTGAATTCGCTCACTGAGAACAAGGCAGATGTTCTCAGGGCACTGGGCAACATCACGATGAAACTACAACTGCCAAAGTAGAGACAATTTCTTAGTTTTCATTTTCCTGAAGTTGAAACTTGCATATCTGGCCTACCTCGTTTTTGTATGGTGGCCACTGTTTGTCTGATGACTTTGGGGATTGGATCTCCACCTTCATTCTCTGCCAAGCTGAGGAGAAAAGAAAACGCGATGACAGATTTTTACACGGGTCAAAGATCTATTCTCGCATCCCACAAATGCAGTGGGACTGAAGGCTCAAACCAAAGTCATAGGAAAGATAGCCAAGGCTTTATGCATGTGGCAATACCTATCACTCAAAGGCCTGCTCTGCCAACTGTGATAATCTGTTCAACTCTTTGAACAGTCTGCAGTAGTCTTTGGGTGAGGAGGTGCACACAACTCAAATCTGTATTTCTCACGTAATGAGATGCTGACCACTAAATATATTTAACCCTAACCGCCAAGCATATCGTTTGGCTCACACTGCACAGTACTACAAAATACTAAGTAATAGTCTGAGCCTGAAGGACCTAGCGCTACAGATTACTTCTTCTGGCTAGGTTACTTTCATTGATATTTGTACAGAGAACAATAAAGCCATGCATTCATAGTGCCACAGCATTGTATGGTACATTGTCTTCTCTATTGTATTTTATGGCTTCTGAGAACAATAAGGTCATGTCCTCTTACAAGCGACAGCGCTCAGTACTACATTTACTACAAGACGTAATTTGTAGTATTATGTAGGGCTAGGGTTAAATGGGCTATTTTCCACTACAAAGAGAAATTAGGATTTGATTGTCAGTTGGATACATTTCAACTTACTTCAAGATATGCAAAGGCTTAACAATGGGTCGGTTGCCTACAAGTCCAGTTAGGCCACCCGGTACAAATTTTCCTGACGCTAATTTTAAAAAATGGATCTGTGCCAAGAATTTGGAAGAGTTTTGCAGGAAAAGGGATTACAAGTGGACATGGTACACTGCTGATTACTGCTCGCTGACCACTTACAAGTCCAGCGACACTCCAAACTGTTGAGTTTTGGGAGGGGCCTTATTTGAGGCGTCGATTGCCGTCGTGTCTTGATCTACAGCTGACCGCTGTCCCTTCCCCTTACGACGCTCAATCACTCGTTTATCATGCCTGCCAAGTGAAAGATGCAAAATATAAGTACTTCTACGATCAAAAATCTTGAGTTATTCAGCAATAATTCTGTTCCAGGGGAGGGGGGGCAAACAATTACCATGTAAAGAGTTCAGATTTTTTCATATGTATCTGCAGCAAAAGGAGTAACTTTGATGCTGAGTTTCAAGATTTCCTGTTTCATTACAAAAGTACAACACAAGTTCACAAATTTTGTGATAAAAAACCGAGTGTCATTTTCAGGGCAATCAAATACGCCATCATCTTAACAACTAGAGAGGCTGTGTTAACACTCTAATGTCATCAGTTCCGTGTGTCTGGCATGCATGGAAACAAGCTTCAGATTTGTGAAATTACTCGTGCATGCTCTGACTGATCAGCAGGACAACCAAATGGGGCATACCCCCACCAGATGTCTGCCCCCCTTCCCCAAGATGCCCCATTGGAAATCATCGGATGTACACAACCAATAGACGGGATGCACTTTATCCATGTTTTGTGCCCCATTAAAAAAGGCTTGCCAATCGGGTGCCCCGACAGACACTTCAACCAACTTATATTTTGTCAAATACCAATAAAAAAAGAGAAGGGAAAAATAACTTACTCTAGGACTGTCTGGGGAATGGCCAGTCGCTCAAGGTCTGTCAACCCTTTCAGTTCGCTCAGGAGGTGGATATAGTTGACCTTGCGACTGAACTTGCTGCTGACTAGGTGCCTGAAGATGCCCCAGAAGACCTTGACCAGGTTGGAAGGGTGCACTATGAGAAGGGCCTTCAAGTTCTTCTTGAACCTGGCAAATTATTCCAATGCCATGAACTTTAATTGAGGGCATTCCTGAAAACTTCAAGAGAGAGCGTGGTTGAAAGACGTTTTGCAATCGGGGCTTACGTTGTGCTCTACTTGTGTATGTCCCAAGGGAAGCCCCAGAAATGTGATGGAGAATGGTTGATGTTTTTTTGTCAAAAATACTACGGTCATAAATTTTACAAATATTTTTATCTCAGGTGGTATGGGCCTTGAGCGCACTATTTTCTTAGCAAAGGAGGCTACTTTGGTCGGAACTGAACTTCGCTTTTTCACGAATGACTACGAAATGCCGGCGTGACGGTAGCATTGCTGCCAGGAAAGTGAACACTCCCAACCAATGTGTCTCTTTTCCACCACTGAGAGGGTGCTTCTGCTCCAGGCGGATAAACGCAGGTTTAAAGACGTTGCTTGGAAACTAGTTTCCAAGTCAAATGTATTCAATTACTTATCAAAACTAACTAAAGCAACCTAAATGGTACTTGACTCCAAATCATACCCTCAAAAGTAATAAAATAGGAAATATTATGTAATATCCTAAGAAACTATTTTCATCAGAGAAACCTATAGATCCTTCAATATACCATACTCAAACAAAAACTATAACAAGCTCAAATTCAAAGGGAACAGAGAGAAACCCAACTAACTCCCTCCAAAAACAGACGTACATTTTAAGTGATTTTAATTCAAATATTCTCTACAATATATCTTTGATAGATTTTTTCATTAACCTCTGGCCCTTACTTTCTGTCCAAACTCTGATAAGCCTGGGTCAACCAGTTGAAATTGGGCCTGTTGGCGTGGACCAGTCCGTACTGGAACACAACAAGGGTGTAATCACTCTCAACATACTGGTCGAGGGTGTACTTCAGGAATCTAGATAATGGGAAAAGAGGATGATCAGGTTAGTAACGGCACATTTCTCTCTCTTGACTTTCTCAGCGATGTGAAATTTACTGTTCTGGAGAGAGTGTGATCTTTTCACCGGGCAATGAGTTGCTTCAGCTTTGAGAGAATACTGGAAAAGGAAGTGATCCAGTCAATCAATTCCAACGGTAAGTATCCCCTCACAAATGAACAACATAGGCGCCGCGGGCAAGGGGGCATTCCCCTCACCCCCCAGAACAAAATTTGAAAAAAAAGGGAGAAGGAGAATTAAAAAAACAAAGAGAGAGATGAAACGGGATGGAAAAAACCTCAAAAATGGCCCCCCCTTCAACTTTAATTATTTAGAATTTCTTAGCTGATGAGTATTTTGGCTCCCCCCTCCCCCGGGAAATTTTCCCCCTGGAAAGAAGTGGCTGCACCCCACTTCCCTCTGAGATAAAGTCCTGGCGATATCCCAATGGGCAGTGCTTGAACACTACCACTCATCTGTACATCCGTACTGGCAGGGAAGTGGTAGGGACTACAAACATATCAAACGATGGCCACTACCGTGACAAACTTGCTTGCCATTGGGGCTTATTTTTGTCCCCACAACTTGGTTCGGAATCTCCTAACAAAAGAACTGGTCTCCTCAATGCATGGCCTCAATGCGGGCAAGGATTCTGCAGGTGTCACAGAGCTGCTGGTGCGCACTCGGCAGTGAGTGCTAGCAAACAGGCATGCACACGGAGTGTTGCTGCTTAGAACAAGAGCTTCCTCTTTTGGTTTTTGGATGGAGCCTTTATTCATGAAAACTTGAGTGAGCCAGCACACATGCTTCCTGTGCTGATCTCGAAGCTAATGTGCGTATCTTCCATGTTCTGTTTTCAGGGTTTTTTTTACTCTTCTCCAAAGTAAAATGTGGCCACTTAAAATTAACAGCTAGCAAAACGCTGAAACGTAAAAGTTCCCATACTTTTGTGTAAACCAGGCGTACAAAAAAGCTCAAATTCAGTGTCAACATCCACATGAAAAAAAGCTGAAATCAGCTGAAAAGCTGAATTCTTTACACCCCCGAATTAAATATCGAAAACTGCACTTGTTAAACATTAGCTGTGTGTTTGTAGATAAGCAACGCTCACCCGAGTAACCTGGAAGTGTTGTACGTTTTTGTTGGCGGAAGGCGGCAACAATAAAACAGAACCAATTTCCTGCCGACATTGTCATCACCTGCACAAAAGAACAAAAAACATACAGTCACCTGACTCTGCAGTCAGTTTCAAAACCACCGAGGATCCTCAAACTCTTTGTGCATACACTCAACTAGATGAACTGCACACAATTTCATTCTACTGCAGAAAACCAGGTTTTGAGACCACTGTTTCGAATAACTAGTTCAACCCCCCAAAACATATGTTTTTAGTCAACTATGAGTGCATGTTAACGTAAGTGATGTTTGATTTGTTTTTTCCTGTCAAATTTGGACTGGAGTTGCTTCAGTAGTAACAGGTCTTCTTTTCCCCCAGAAATTCACTTTTAAAATGAAAGCTAGTTCCCATTTTCAAACAGGCTACCCGTAACCCTAGCATCCACTTTGTACAGACCTAGGGTCACGATCACATCAATGAATGGTCAACGAGAGAGTGTGGGAACAACAGACGCTGGCTAACCTGCCACTTGTATGATGTTATGCTTTGCGATATCTTCAAACGTGTCCTCCGCCTGCACGACGTCGATTGTTTCAGTGTTTTCAGCAGAGGGCGTGGCTTCTGCCGAGCTGGTAGCCTGGCTCTCCTCTCCACCGCCTGGCATGGACTCATCAGATGGGGAGCACAGTTCTGCAATGAAAGGAGAGAGGCAAATCAGAGAGAGAAAAAAGCAAAGAAGGAAAGAACTCCATAGACGGACGCCACTAATTTTACCCTACAGTTGCCTATTAGCCCAGCCCTCAGAAAGCAATAACACGACCTTAACCACTTGCCACCAGGGTTGCCCGTACTGGAACCATATTCTTTATATGCATTGCCGGGGTTCTCCGAAATCGGACAAAGGGAACTGGGCTTTGTGACAAAAGACCATACTCGTAACAAAAGACCAGTTTGCTGGGCATTACCAATATTTTTTAATGTCAATAGTGGAGATAATCCAGCCTTGTTTTGAAACAGTATACCACTGTTTGGGGGATTTAGCGGAAGCAAATTACCACTGGGAACAAAAGCGTTCCACCACCTCAGCAATGAGCCACACAGTACCACTGCATGCTAATCTGGCCCCTATTGAAATGAGGTCAGCAGCACACTGAGCCAGGTTCGTGAACAAAAGAAAATTACGTAACACCACACAATCTGGGCTCTGCTACATGACAGCAGGCCTGGCTGAAATACTCCAGTGTCAACAGATGTTATCTATCAGATTAGAGTCGAAACAAAAACAGTCCTTCCTGTGGGTGTAAGTGTCCAGTAAATAAAGATATAAATTTTTTAAGAATTTTGAAAACAGCAAAAGGGAAAACTATCCCATCCCAGCATCATCAACATTCAACATTATGAAGTGGTTAAAAGTCAACTTTTCAGTTTTCAGTTTAGAAAACACTCGGAATTTTTACACCAGTCTCACAGGGTTACGCACAGGATGTCAAGCAGTGTCTGTATATGGAATTCCCTCAGCTTATCTGCCCTTTAAAAGAAACTCAACTTCAAATAAGTTACAAACACAGGTTGTGCACTGCAGCCTTTCTTCTGGTAAGAGCTTTTGCTCAACAGGGACATGCATGAGTAGACCTTTTGTGCTATCCTTCTGTAACAAAAGCAGTTACTGGAAAGATGGCTGTCATGCACATGCTCTACACACTGCTGTGTGTTTTTTTGGGGGGGGTGATTAGTCATCATTAGTCAGCATTTAGGACTAAAAATAATTCCAGTTTTAAATTTTTCTCACTCCGTCCTATAAAACAAACCAGCACCTTAATACCACATCCTTTCCCTAAATTTAACATTGAAAAGTTTGAAATTTGCTGAAGAAAACTAATAATCATCCAATAAACTGGCCACTTTTTATGCCAAAGGTTACAAACAAAAAGGTAGAGGGTTCATATTTCAGCACAAATGATTAACCCTTACCCCCCTAGGGTGTATGTAAAATCATATTGAAATCAGAGGATATGGGACTGGTCAAAGGGCTGTTTTATGATCAGTCCTTTCGGATCAGTGCGATCTGGAACATTTGACAAGCTCATGATGACCTAGAACTACAAGTCACAAGCATGTGACTTCTGTTAGTTTCACGGGCTGGCTTGGTCATAAAGCTAGTCCTACACTAATGACAGTTAGTGTTATCAGGTTGTTTGCAGATGACTGCTTAATCTACGGGAGCATAACCTCTGCTGCGGATGAAAAGCTTGTCCAGAATGATTTGCATAACCTTGAAAACGGGCCGGCACCTGGGGTATACGTACATGTATGTGTTTCAACATAGGCAAGTTTAATTAAAACCATGCGTTCAGCACCAAAGAAAAACCCTGGGGTGATGTCTTACACCATGTCCAGTGAACCTCTTGAGGAAACCAAAGATGTCACCTACTTAAGCGTAATCATTCAACAGGATCTTAGATGGGAGAAGCAAACGCGTCACATTGTCACCAAAGCATCATGAGAGCTGAATTTCATCAGGTGTAATTACCACATGCGCTCCAGATCCATTAAAGAGTTCTAAGCTTTACCTGACACTTGTACAACCACACTTGGAATAAAGTATTGCTGCTTGGAATCCATTTAGAGTGAACCATACATCATCTATTAAGAAGGTTCAATGGAGTTACCAGATTTGTTTATGGAGACTACTCAAGAAACAGTAGTGTGACAGATATGCTGGCAACTTAAACTGGGGCACCTTCCAGTTGAGACCTGATACCATTAGAACCTTATTCAAAATCAGCCATCAAATCACCATAGTACCTAAAGCTCAGGAGTCACAGAGGGGCAACAGCAAATACTTTGAAAGAACCCATATTTCATCATCAGCATTTGAACACTACTATTTTTCCAAAACTATTAACATATGGAACAATCTTCATCAGACCATCATTGATTCACCTTTGTCAGCACTTTTTGGTCACAACTACAAACAACTATATTGCACTAACCCTCTGAAATCAAATGAGTGTCCACTCTTTTGAGGGTCTCCTTGTTAATCTGCCTAGAGGAGAATTCAGGAGGAATTTAGTACCAAGTACAGTTACATGCCATAATTGTAAGCTTTGCTGTGTAGTGATTAAGCAGCAATGTTGCTCTCCTCCCAGTGAGTTGTAAATATGTGGAATAGACTTCCAGACAAGATGATGAATACAAAGACAACAAATCGGTTTACAGAAATGATCGACAAGGAGGCCCTACAATATGCTAGTTTCCTACATCATGTAGGGACATGAGGGAATGTAGGCCTACATCATGTACATGTAACATGCCTAATGTTAATCCGTTAATCCTAAGTGTAAGTGTGTAATTTATTTTCTGTCACAATGACATCGACGGCCACTAGCGTTACTAGCCTGCCTTATCGCCATATCATCATTATAATATAGGCATGATAGGGCCCTAGGGCCCAGGCATGCTAGGGGTGTGTCCAAAATAAAGCCCCAAAATAAAAAAAACAAAGGCCAATCAGGAACGTCACTCACTCAGTTGGGCATTTGCGACCATTTCTGCATCGTCTTGAGCCAGTGACAACTCTTCATCTTCCTCAAAATCGACATCCACATCTCCAAATGTTCCCTCCTGACCTTCGGGGGTTCCCCTAGCCTCTGCCGGAACGTCTAAGTCGATAGTCAAGTTCTCCCTATTCACGTTGTTCTGCGCTGCTTCCGCCATCTTCCTGTAGTACTACCTCCATACGATATGCAGCATATGCAGCCATGAGCTAGCTGCATGCATTCATCAGCCGTCGTATCCTATCGTACGCTTATGAAACGAAGAAAGATTATCCACATAGGTACACTATAGGAAGAGATTCAAAACTTGAATTCTTGAACAGTGCATTTACAAAGGACCAAATTTCAAATGATAACAATAGACTTGAAAGTGTTCTAAAGAGAAAAAAAGCCACCCTTAATTATCTTTTGGTTTTTCAACCCCTTTGTCCTTCCTGCTTTCATATTGTATATTTCCAAAGCTGACTTTCGAATCCAAAATTTGGAAAAGTGTTTCTAGCGGGGGAGGGGGTTGGTGGCGCCCTTCTGCAAAATAGCAAGCGTTGTTTTCCGCCATTTTGCATTTCACGTGCTATGTGAATGCATTAACGTTCGCGTATCGTTTAACACGGCAAAGGTTATTTGCTCAATTTTTCGTCAGTGACTGCTGCTTAGTAGCAGAGCGACTCCAACCATGGCAGCATACAAGGGGCAGAAAGTACAGAAGATTATGGTTCAACCTATTGTATCCTTTGGCAAAATAGTTAAAGGCCCAAGCACAGTATTTAAAAAGTTAAATTCTATCATGGTCATTGCATTTGTTGTGTTGTCTAGAGAAGAGCGTGCATTTCCGACACATTGTATGAGTCAGTGTCAGTCTAGCCCCACTAGTGTGGCACGGGCTCTCACTCCCGATCCATCCGTAGCCACACATCCGTATAAGCAATTTCGTGTGGGCGTACTGAACATTTTCGGCGCACCCACTTATCATCGTGGGCGCAATTTCTTTTGCATACGAACATGATCCTTGACCTTTCCGTTTTCTAAAAACCATTTATTGAGGGATTTCACTCACGTTATTCAGGTTTTTTCCAGTCTTTTTGCCTTTAGCTATTCAATCTAATGGGGCTCGCTCTCTCAGTCGCCATCTTTAAAATAAGATCATTGAAAAATATGTCACTTGACCCCTCATCGTCTCGACGGCTGTTCCATGTCAAGACATGTAATAAACAGAGTGAGCGATAAGACACTACATGTACCAATGGGCTCTTCCAAAGCTTTGGCAGCAGTTTAGATGTCTTGATGTTTAGATGTACATAGTCATTAGTGATAATCTGTAGACAGACACATAAATAATAACGAAATTATGAGTTCAAATGATCGACAGATCCTATAGCTTTTTTAGAAACTTTCAGACATTAACCACAACAGCAAATGTCAGAAGTGATTAAAGTGCTGTCTTCTGATTCCTGAATAGGCAGTGAAGTTCGATTTGCACTGAAATGTGCAAATGCTTTTCTAAACTCAGACTCAGATTGGCATCTAAATGATACAATACCGTATGAAATTCTTTATGAGACAAAATTAAACGTTGTTAAATTGTGATAAATTATTATCGTTACACTGCAATGTTTCAGTGGATACGTAAACCCTGGATTTTTAGAAACGGGAATGATTAGAGTTTGATGAAAGTTTTACATGTACATGATTATCTAGCGTACTGCTTGAAAGAATTGAAGAGGGCAGAAATCATCTTGGTTGCAAACTGGAACATCTATAGAAGCAAGAATGTTTTGGGATCCATGCCGAAAGCCTCGCTGCTGGGGCTGTCAAAACTTGCACATTTCATTTATTATTACAAAGTTGCCAAAATAGGACAAGGCTTAGTGAGTCCAAGTTGACTCGGAGTGTGTCTTAGTTATGGGTCCGAGTTAGTATTAGGTCCAAATTGGTGTGGGTCCGAGTTGGCTTCGGGTCCGAGTTGGCGTTGGTCCGATTTGACGTGGGTCCGAGTTGGTTTGGGTCCAAGTTGACCAAGTTGATGTCTCTGATTTTTCCATGCAGTGGTTTGTTAGCCAAAATACTCAGAAAGTGACAATTCAAATTAGCATGTTTAGCAGGGAAAATATTGAACCATATGCTACCCCTGCTAACAACTGTCTAAGCCAACGCATATGCCTAGTAACCAAATTTTTCAGACCAGTCTGGAATTGTAGAATACAGGGCCACTCAGTTTGGACTTAGATTTTTTTTGACCATCTGTCCATCTCCATTCATTTTGTGTTGCTTCGTTCTCAAAAAGAACTCTTTCCACATTGTAGACTCAATTTGGACTGTTTTTGCCTTCTCGGATTCACTCTGATCCGACGCGACATCATAGCCAGTGATTCTGGAGGCATATTCGAGTGTGGCCCTGCTTTCTATAGTTACTCCATTTTGCGTTGTAGTCCATTAGTTTTGTAAAGCGAATTTCTAATACGTGCCTCTTACTGGGCAACGCCGTTGGGATACCAAACTGGCTTATTGGAGTGTCATTATTAGGGTACATCATGAACAGCATATGGAGTGCATGGTTGGGATTTGATTTCATATCTTCTCATTCAGATGCATTTATTCACCTTAACTTTAGTATTCTCATTTACTGCTTGACGTGGTAGAACCTCATCTTCAGATATTTACAAAATGTAAGTATTTTTTCAGAGTAATTTCATAGAATCTTCTCCAAATCTGCCCATCACTACACAGTCGTCCAGTGGCACATTTCTTATTGCAAAGTAGCACTTGCCCACAGGTCTGAATTCATAGGGAGAAACTACAAAAGTAACGTGGTGGATTCTTGGGGTCTAACTCAGTCATTTATAACCTGCTTTTTGTCATTTTCCATACAGAGGTCAAGAGTACAGGTGTGGTTATATGATCAGAACAACCTGCGAATAGAGGGACACATTATTGTAAGTTTGGAAAAACTCTTCCACTTTGAATACTGTATTTGTTCTTGAAGGTATAGATCTACGTCTTTTCGCAGTCACTACAGTCCTTTTCTGGGTATCACATCTGGACTTCGTTTACATTTAAAGACTATTAGTAAAAAAATAGTGGATTGACAAATTCTGTTTGAGGCGTAAACTTTGCCGAACCGCTTGCATTCATGTATTTCTTATGGTCTTTGAGTTGAGTTTTTACAGAATGTGAGTGAAAAGTTTTATGAAATCTTGTCTCTAGGCGACATTTTAGCTTTGAAGTAGTATGAACCGCAGATTCCTTGTTGGTAGAGAATTTGGTGTTGCTGTCACTGCCTGGATCATGAAGGACTATTGGTTCTCTCTCCCAACAGGGTTTTGACGAGTATATGAACCTGGTCCTAGACGAAGCCGAGGAGTTTCACCTCAAGACAAAATCCAGGAAACCACTAGGTGAGTCTGAGAGGGTTAACCTTTTCCATCTTCAATGACGCTCTCTTTAAACAACAGTTCAGTTCGCAGAGATTACTTGCCAAATTTCCAGTTGCCCTTCTGCAGTTTAAAAGGCATCTCAAAAACCTGAATTGGGACCTTTGCTTTGAGTGCAAGTGATTGCTATTCTTCGTTGTTCACAGTCTTATGTGAAGTACAATTTATGTAACACCAGGACACGTTACTGCAGGTGAAACGTAAGCGCTTGATGTGAGCACTGCACTTGTCAGTTTTGGGTAACCGTCTCTGCTGAATGGCATACCTTCAGAAGGTCATCCTTGGGATTATCGGAATGTTTAGAGAGATTTCAGTTTGCCCAGCTGGCTACTGATTACGAATTGCACATTGAAGCGTTTTTTTTCCCCTTATTGCCTCTTTTTTTTTTCTTTAGGGAGAATAATGCTGAAAGGTGACAACATAACGTTAATACAGAACGTTCAAGAATAGGCAGCCGTCTCTCTCCGTGACCAATTCAGAAGCCCGAGTCAGAACGCCACAACCAGTTTTTGTAAATACCTCTGAACCAGGAGTTTTTTTTCCCTTTGATCCTTCAAGTGCTTGTCATTTTTGACAAAATTTAGACAGAGTTTTGTAAATTATTTTACCACATTCAAAATTTCATCCATCTTTTCAAGGGATGGATACAGTTTTTTACTTCGCTCACGATGTCGGTGGTTTTGTTGTGCTAGTCTTAGTACATGTATCCGTAGAATTATTGTGCGTGTATTTCTTTAAAAAGTAATGTCTTCGTAGTGAATAAGGGTTGGTCAGTGTTGGTTATGTCTCAGTCAGCTGGGCCCAGTTTGATTGATCGGTTAAGTTAGCACATTTGCAGTAGCAACCGGTGCCCCGTGGCCTTTTGGCTGGTAACCAATTTCTGCATGTTATAATGATTAACAGTTACTGTCAAGCATATACCACTATAAAATCTCTATGCCCTGAAAGTCATTATCCCTGCACATTGAGCTCACAACATCTGAACATTCTTGAAACCATCTCAGCTCCTTGGGGAGTATACTAGCCCAGTGCTGCCAAATCAAGTGCAAATGGCTAATCATAGACTGCCCTCACAGGTACCTATTTACTCCTAGGTGGACAGAGGCACGTAGGTAAAGTGACTTGCCCAAGTTCGCAACATGGTAAGCTAACAAGTTTGTGTGCGCAGTGGCTTTATGATATTGGGCCCTGATTCCTCCCGATTCCATTGAAATCTACAGCCTGGTTTGGCATTGGAGCATTTAAATGGATTCAGGACTGAAAGCCTAGCCACGCTCACTGAATGCTGCGGCCCGAAGCATGGGGAGAGTGGCACCAGTTTACCTGTGTGTTTGAGCATTCATGGAGTTACCACACTTCAGAGGAGAGGGTTATTAAAGTTTCGGAAAGCCCCCGCGTTGTGCCATATGATCTGAGAAATGAGAGACGGGTCTTGTTCCGTTGGGTTTGGCAGTAAATTATGGTACAGAGCAGAAATGCAATTTGATGACAGATTCAGGGAGCGAAACTTGATGTCGTTATTGCGTTGGCACCACACTTCCACTCCAATGGTACGAGCTTGACATCCCTATTGTATCATAGAATTTCACGATTTGCCTAAAGGCATGCCCTAGTCTGGTGCCACTGCGTCTCCAGGGATCAGTCTCCTGCAGCATCAGTGGATAGCACAGTGTGTTCAGAAGTGATAAGGGAACCTGTAGATTCATTTCTGCTGTGCAGGATCAGACATTTTGTAAATATCACATGTACACACTCGGTCATTAGAGTCACCCAAAGGAGGAAGGTTTAACCCCTTCACGGTGGGATTATTTTGACCGTGACTGCTGGGCCGTGGTATGCACTAATCCTCACACAACAGTGCAGTAGCAGCAGTCCTCTGTAACAAAGGGGTTGGCAGCAATCAAGAAAAGCAAATCATTTGTGTTGTTTACTTTGATGTGTAGTTGACATTGATGACTTTTTGAATAACCGGTGTGTCACTTGACCATGACACGTCCCACTTTCACGCTATTGTTGCATTGTTAACCCTAACACTCCTCAGTCCTCCAACAGGTGAAGGATTGAGGAGGGTTAGGGTTAATGATTAGATGATAGGTTACCAAGTAATGTGCGTTTATTACGTGAATGATGCTGTCAAACTGAACCCTTACTGTTGCTGGATGTGATCGCCACATATCTCATGGAAAATAGACAATTTCACATTGTAATGAAACAGTGCAACAGGAATTTGAAATCTTGGTTTATTTCTTTCACCTACAATTCAGTTATCTACAAGACACCAAGGTGGGCTATTTTGATAATAGGCACAACATCGGTTAGTCTATAAATACTTAATCTTGAACAATAAACGTGAAGTTTCTTGTACATAGGTCATACGTGGCTCCTCTGAAGTTTCTTTTTGTGTTGTTTTTCCACTCGAATACTGATGGGTGAGGCCCTTCCCAGCCAAAATAGCAGATTTATTCAGCCAGATTTCAACTTCTTTCTTTAAACTATGTGGATTTCAAGAACTGTTGCAAAAAGCGTTGTGCAAAATACTGATTAAGAGTGAGAGAATACAGTTGAACTGAACATCAAGTTGGCAGTACAAGTCCCAACTCTGGAAGCTTATTAAAAAGCTCAGAAAGGGTTTACCCTGGTACACTTCAGAACGAGAGCAACATGGAACTTATCTGCCTACAACACCCAGGAAAGTCCCTTGTGATTTTGCCAAGTCTTGAAGAAGCGCAGTCACCTTACATTGACTCAATGAAAGAAACTTGAGTATCATTCACTACATATTAGATACTGAATTGTTTATGCTTACAGTATTGTCAAAGTGAAAATACTCTGTGAATTTAAAATGCTGTGTTCGAAGCAACAGGTCTGGAAACGATGGGAGTATTTGAAATATACAAGTGTGCGATAACTTGATTATCAAGGTAAAAGTTAAATAGGCTTAATAATTCCACTCACCTACACAAGTATGTTTACACAATACTACGAAATACTATTTCTTTTGTACAAGTTATAGAGGAACGTCTACGTACGTATCTTTAAAATAGAATTTCTTTTTAAATTTCAGTGTGAGAACAAATGCTGAATAGGACACCATAAATATGTTCACCTGCATGTTTCTTATGGCAAATGATAGTCTCTTGTTTTGACAAGGTGGGTAAATTGTGTGACTATTACAGTTCACAAAACAACTATCAAAGTAGTTCAGAGAGCACTCTTGGAAACAAAAATAATCTTTAATACTTTACATTTTCAGGTATCAAACAACTGGATATTTCACCTTCAACATTTCTAAGACGGGTGGTATTTCTATAAAAAAAAAAAATCCAACTCCCACGACAAGAAATCCTACTTTTGTGCATTTCGTAACATCCTCCAGATGATCTCAGACAGACATCATGCTGGATATGAACTCATCATAGGAGATCCGGCCGTCAAGATTTTTGTCCAGCTCGGAGACGATGTGGTAGAAATCCTCCTCATCAAAGCGGATCTTGCTCTCTGCCAGGATGCGGCGGAACTCAGGAACGTTCAAGTAGCCGTCGTGGTTCAGGTCTGCCTTCTTGAAGGCTCTCCGCAGGCTCTTCCAGTCGTGGAGAAGCTGCAGATTAAAAACAAAGGAGCATGAGTGACAGACACTATAATGCGCATCATGACTCAACTGAAACCATTGATATTTATTACTCTTGCAAGATCAAGGCTTTTGAATGTTAGCTGCAAGCAATATAACAGCATCAAGTTAGGTAGTCTCAGCAAATATGGATCATGACCATCCGAACTATGTGGTGGGGTGCAAAAAGACGGGTAAAAAAACAAAGGCACCAAACATAGGTATGACCAGCAATAGTACTCCCCAAAGAGATAAAATGCATTTTGCATCTGCTCCAACAAGTTTTTGAATGCACACAAATGACTTGAAAATGTCAGCCCTTTCCCTGTTCTGCCACGTGTTCCTGGTTTGTATTGGTTTTCAGCAGAATTCACAGGACATACGATGACCTTTGGCACAAGTAAAGAATTAATTGATGCACTTCTTTTGCATGTTTAGTGTTTGCTTGTTTCCGGTGTAGTCCTGAGCAGTTTGTTGGAATCAGGAGTCTTTGTAACCTAAACTGTTGCGTTTCTTTACAGTTGTAGAAACAAGCAAAAATAATACGAGATACTCGTAGCCTCTGAAAACTTACGAACCCTCAGTAAACTACATTAGAGTACTTCTAGTAGGAAACAATTTTCTGCTATGAAAGACCAAGTGTGTGCCACAATATGATGCTGATACACACACTTTGACTGGCTTCGCCCACTTCAATTCCCGGAAAACATGTTTCCCGCAAGAACACACTGTGTTCCAAACCCAGCACTCCAACAAGGAACATTTGAAGTATTTGAATTGACAGCCAGTGTTTAACCACTTTGAGCCGGGCCCGGCGCTTTTTAATTTCTATTCCGTTTTCAAAATTCTTCAAAAATTCATATCTTCATTTACTGCACGCGTACACCCAAAAGAATGACTATACTGTACTATGACAACTCTAATCTGACAGGCAACCTCCACTGACGCGCGAGTATTGCGGCCATGCATGCTGCCCAGTAAAGAGCCCCTGTTATGCGGTGTCGCATAATTTCCTCTTTGTTCCGGGAATTAGCCTAGTGCATTGCTACACTGGAGAGCCAGTTGCAATGCAGAGTGCGTGGGCCATGAGGGTGAACTAGGCCATTCAACGGGCCCACCAGCACAATAAACGCTGCACAATTCAGCCAGATTCCACGAGCGTGTAGTGGTATTGTATCGCTAATCCCTGGAGCACACGCTTTTGTCCCTGCTGATAATCCGCGGGCACTGGCAATGGCAAACAATGATACTGTTTCAGAACAATGACGGATTATTTAAATATAAATATATGTTGGGCAAGGGCAAAAGCCATTTTTAAAAGATGGATTACCTCTGCTAATGGCCAGCACTCTGCACTGACAGTGTACGAACCTTCAATGGCAAGTCCCAGCAGCTCAATCTTTTGTTTCCAATCTGGCCATGAATAAAAGCCAAGTTTTCCAGTCCAGTGAACCCACTGTTGCCGATCAAGGATGGAATCACCTTCACTGATAGCCAAAACCTCTGACAGACAGCAAGTACTTCTTTCTAAAAACGCCCAGCAACTTCATTTTTTTTTTTAAAGTTCCCATTTCAGGCACCCTGGCCTCATGGGCCACGCACCGTGTCTCCGGTACCGGGCACCCCGGTGCAAAGTGGTTAAAATGACCACGAGCCATGGGCAAGAAGTTAGTCCTTCCAAATAAACGTACCTGCTTCCTGATCTTTATCAAAGCGGAAGACACTGTCATCTGCTGCCCTCCTTTTTCATTCTGATCCTGAGAAAGAAAATACATAATGTGAGGGGGTGTGAGATTGGATGAAAATGAAATATCCATGAAATGCTCCCAAGAGGTTTGGAGGGCCCCTCAGAAGTGTAGGGTCTACGGTATACATTTGTGTTTATCTAAAGGCACCCTTTAAAATCCCCATTTCTTGAGTTCTATATCAATTTTTATGCATAGAAAAACCTTAATGGTAAACTTAGAATTTTCCAGATTGTACAAAAGCTTGTTCAAAATATCCTGAAATCAAGAAAATCACGATAAAATATCCTGAAAAATCCCACACCTGATAAAATTAAAGCTTTCAAGTAAACTGTAAGACCTCCCTCAGAAAAACACAACTTTCTAAATTGCAGCATCCTTTAAAGGTCGAAAAGCATTCATAGCCAAAGGCCAGATGTAAGTACTGGATGTCCCTGCCAAGAAATCAATTTACCTACTACCCTGGGAAGGGGCGGGGGTTTGAAGGATGTACTTACAGTGACTCGTATGCCGGTCTTGCTTGACTTCCTGTTTGAGTCAACAAACAACTGGAGGAACTGTAGATAGTGAAACCTAAGGGAAACCGACAAATAGAATAAACATGTCATACTCTTTCGATTTTTGTTCTCAAGTGCAGCACGTTTTTATTACAAATGTAAACACCCTTATCCGCTCCGAGCGCAACAAAAGAGGGCGTGTTTTTTTTGGTATTCACCGCATAAGCAAGCGTTTATAATGGAAATCAATGGCACGTTTGACGCAGAGCACGCTGAGTACGCATAATGAATTTATTCCTTAATGTATGGTCTGCGCATACACGCAGAACGCGTGCAGGAACCCGCTCGGAAAACTTACAACCGCCTGTCTTTCTTTTGCCGCTTGGGGGTGCACTTCAACTCGGGGCGGATTAAAAGCACACAGCATCATCACTATCACAACAGTGAAGAAACAAACATCCATTTGAATTGGGTGACTCTACAAGCTTTCTTCACATACTCAAATGACTCATCGGTAACTATATGCTGGCTTGTAGTTTGGATGAGGACTTAGGAAATGTTTGTCAGGTAATTTTTTTGTCCTTTTTTTCTCAGAGAAATTTTTTGCAATGAACTTCCTGTCAAGGCAATGTTTCCATACCAGACCTGAGGCCTACCATGTCTTACAATACAAGCCTTTTTTTCTGTCTACTTACTGTCCGTTTTGGCTGAAATCAAATCTGGAGGAGAGCCTCTCGAACTGACCCGGTGACAGGTTGATGTGGACATGTTTTAGAAGTGCCTAATTATTGAAACAAACACAAATTTTAAAAACTGAAAAAAAAGAAAAGAAATGTGTAGCACTCACGTGCTGGCAACATTTTATGGAAAATGTTACAGTGGAACCTCGCTATACCGAACACTGCAATACCGAACATTCGGCTTTACCGAACATCGTCCTTGGCTCCCGATAAAATTTGTACACAGAACCTACTGAACACTATTCAGCTGCCGTTTGTAATTCCCGAACGTCAACATGATAAAACAGTTGGTGTTTTTATGTTGGAAAGTGATAAGTGGGCATTATTTCCCCAAGGATTAGAAATGAAAGCCACTAGTTTTCAACGGTATTCTGTAGATACTGGTTTTGCGACTTCACATAAATGGGTGTGGAAGAAAACCGCACGTATGCGCACCGTGGCATTGCACTAACAATAGTCTAAAGAGGGCGCCGCTGATACACAAATCAACTGAGATTCGCCACTGCATGCTGCATGCCTCAGAGATCCTGAGCGGTAGCTTCACAACTTCTGGGCTAAACTTGATATCATTTTTGTGACTCAAGATTAAATAAAAGACAAAAATAATTAACAAATACATTTCAAGAAACCTTAAACATGAATACAACGGCAAAACATCACGAAAGAGCGAACCACGGTATCACAAGAGGGTGCACTTCGGTAAGACAAGAGAGGGCGCTATTCAACATGGCAACGAAACGTTTGGCAGTTAAATTCGCTATACCAAACGACCACTGTACCAAACATTTAGTGTGGACCCCGTAGTGTTCGTTATAGCGGCGTTCGTCACAGTCCTATGGAAGGGAGGAGTTGAATTGGTAATTGTTCTGTCAACCATCATGCATGACATTACAGGTCAAATCAGTTTCAATTCCATGAACTAAAATTTCACGACAAATTAATGTAGGACAAAGATAACATCACATGTATTATTGTTATTTATATATTTATCTTTTTTTAACAGTTCTCTTTTATAGATGTCTCAATTGAATCCAGATGTTTATCCTTTACTGTGGGGGTGGGGATGGGGCGGGTTTCTCTTGACAGGTGGCAACTCTTTCCAACAGTTCCAACATGTACATGTACTTTCTTTTCCATGTTATGTGGCCAGCGCCCACATATATGTCTGCTGTTAATTCTATTTATATGATATTATCCCATTCCTGTGACTGGTGTTTTTTTTATGCCGTTGGGTGTGGTTAACAAATAAAACAAAATAAAAATATCCCACAGGGGACTTTAAAAGGAGTTTTTGAAAAATTAAACGGTGAGAAAGCAAAGAGGAATGTTTGGAGACACACCGGGTTAAATCCTGGTATGGATTAAACTTAATGAAGTACATTACAGTGGGAAACTTGGGCACAAGCCGGACAAAACTGACGATTGATTTTGCCACCACTGACTCACTTGGAATTGTGGGATGGGAACCATGGCAACGCCATATGGATCCATTTCTCGCAGACACATTTTGAGCTCATCCCAGCTTTGGAGAACCTGAAGGGAAACAACATGAAATTAATTATGTAAATCTCGCAACAAAAGACGTGTTAGGGACATGCTTGGATAGTCTTTTTTTCCAGTGTTTTCATGTTGTCATTTTTTTGTTACTTACAGGTTTTGAATTGTGACAAGTGACTGAACAACTCACATCTGCTTTTCATGAAAACCCAACAGGCCTTACCTGCGGTCTGATCCTGGCCACAATGTCTTCGGCCGGCGTCCCAAAGAACTCCCGGCCCTGGTCACGGTCCTCATTGGAAGGGCGCTTGCGGACTTGGGGCTGGGACTGTGCCTCCCGCAGGATGGGGCTCCGCCTCTGTGGGGCTGGCCGGTTGAACTTGGCTGCTGCTGTTGCTGCAGCGGCTGCTTCCCTTCGTCGCGACCGGCTGATGAAGTAGTCAAAGAGCTCAGCGTAGTGGACCAGGCCATCTCTGGCTATGTCCAAGGCACTCCAAAGTGTCTGCAGCTCTGTTGGGTGCAGGAGAACCCCAAGTCTGGCAGGCAAAACAAGCGAACAAACAAAAAGCTGAATTACTTGATCATCTTAATTTGTCCACAAAGGAATGAGAATTGTTAGAGTTAACCTGCCTCCCTTGACTAATATCCTTTTTTGGAAACAGGATCTTCAAAACAACAGTTCCAGAAAATTGAGCAAAGTGGTATGAGACTTTAGAAATAAAATCGGACTCTCCATTAATGGATTATTTTGAGATGGCTTGTCCATGATGGAAGTTTTGCTAATTAGCTAAACAAAGGTTGTCACTTTGCTGTGGTGTAGGAAGCATTTTCAGTGCAAATCAAACTATCTTGGATATAACAATTCAGGCTCCAAGAGGACTGCTACAAGTTGTATTTTGTCTCTCAGATTACGGATTATGCTTATGCGAATTGAAGGAAAGCATGATTCTTGAACTGAAACTGTGTGTCTTAACAGGGGAGACCACACCTCTGTAGGGCTAATGGAATTAAAGAGCTTACAGACATGAACCTAAAAAAGTGGTCTATCAATCAGTTAAAGATCCGCAGTAGAAGCTTTTTGTGAAAAGGGTCATGAGAAATCAGTTATGACTAATGTGACTGTGATGACCACATGTTTGAAGAGAGGGCCTTAGACTTTTTGGAGGACAAATAAGGAAATTTGAGAACCTGGTATCTTAAAGATTTGTCAGTCTCAAAGCTAGTGTTTGAGGAAGCCTCGAAAGAAACACTGTCCTTTTACAGTGAAAGGTGTCACGTTGGGATCTTTTTTTATATAGGGATTGGGGTTAAGTTTCTTTGACATCTTGCTGAACTTCAAATATTTTAAGTCATGATCTTACTCCTGAAGCCACTGGTGCAGCTGGGTCTTGGACAGTCTCCCTGTCGCCTTGCGGTCTATCTTGTGGTAGGCCTCTTGGGCTTCATAGCCTCGTCTTCGTAGCAACTCCTCGATTGTGTCTTCCATCTGTGATGGAACAAAATGACAAAACCAGGTCTGTGATATCACATTCTTCACATTGTTGTAACAGTGTAACATACTGTGCAAGATAGATGTCAGTGCCTGATACAGAAATCCAAGAGTCTGAAACCTTCATTTCAAGGAATATTATTTCAAAAAAACAGGAAGGATGGATCAGGCTCACACACTTTGACATTAGGTACAGTTTTCAGAAATTTATACTAATTCTTATGTACTGTGCAACTTTTGTAGTGATGAATAAGTGAGTTTTTCAGGCCAAGGTGTAGAGAAAAAATGCGTCACTTTTAAAAAGTGAGGAAAGGTATGTCTTCTTGTTCTTGGCGCCGAATCCCATGTTCAGTGGGAAGAATTCAAATGAGAAGTCATCGTGGGATCGAAAATACTTCAGGATAGTTGTCGAATGCTAACTTATTCAATTCAGGTCCATTCAGAATCTCTGCCTCAAATCCAGTCTCCAACTCTCACTCATTACCCTTCACCCCTCCCCTCCTTTGCTTTGTCACATTTGTACCTCCTTGACCGGTCTGTATCTGGTCTCCATCCCTTTCCTCTTTGTCGTGCCCACACTGGCCGCCCTCCCTGATCCCTCTCCGCCCCCACTCTGCCGCGGGCCGTCCCCAAACTCCACAGGTCCGGCCAGGTTGGGGGGCACCACGTAGTCCTCCGGGGTGGGGACCCTCTGGACGGTGGCGGTGGGGGAGGAGCGGTCAGCCAGCTGCTGGGACTGGGGTCGAGGAGTCTGGGAGCGCAACACAAGTGGAGGTCTGGTGGGAAACCGGAGAGATGGTGTTTAAAGTAGTCAGTAGCCTTTTCCCTTATCATTAATTCCTTCATCAGTTTCGTAAAGAACTGAATGTATTAATAACCAATATGAGCACTGAATGGATAATATCTAAACAGGATTTTGATGTAAAGAGGTCACAAGCAGAAAAACATTTCTGGCAAGAACTGGAATGTACTTGCTAGGTGGTTTGTTGGTGACACTGTGAAAACACAGTTTAATCAATTCTATCACAGTTTATATTTTTAAGAAATTAATGCTTGCCAATTGAGTAAATATTTTCAACAAGTACAAACTTGATTGGCAATTGAGAAAATATTTTCAACAAGTACAAACTTGATTGGCAATTGAGAAAATATTTTCAACAAGTACAAACTTGATTGGCAATTGAGAAAATATTTTCAACAAGTGCAAACTTGATTGGCAATTGAGAAAATATTTTCAACAAGTGCAAACTTGATTGGCAATTGAGAAAATATTTTCAACAAGTACAAACTTGATTGCAATTGAGAAAATATTTTCAACAAGTACAAACTTGATTGGCAGTCATATTTCTAAACTGCTTCAGTCCATTCTTTGTCAGTTGCATCAATATTTCTGTACAACCGCATCTATTTTTATTCATCCCTATAGACAACTTTTTAACAGACTATAAATTTATCAGCATTGTCTGCGACTGAACAGATGTATCTGGCAGTTGGGGGCATACCTCTTCCGGTTAAAAATGGCCAGGAACTCTGGATAAGGCACCAGATCGTCCAAGTTGACACCCATCTCTACCAGGATCTGGTCCAGCTGAAGGTCACTCATACGGATCCCGAAGACCCTGTCCACGCTGTCTCTGAACTGTTTCTGGGTAATCAGCTTGAGGTTGTACTGGTCTTGGCTCCTAGAGATGCAAGTTGGGGAGAAAGCTGAGGGGTGTCCATCTTAAAGCAAAGCAGCTGACTGCATAGCAGAGTGCCCAAGTGATGCTGCATTTGTTGAAGACTTATGAAATGTGCCACTTTCATGAAATGTAATTTAATCATGTCTTTGCACAGCTTTTAATAAAATGTGGCAGAAGTTTCCTGAAATCAGGTGCAATAAGTAGTGTGAAGGACAACTTCATTTTTAAAGACCAGCACAAAACAGTCTGGCTGTAATTGTACGGCTGTCATGCTTGAATTTTGTATGTCTGTCAAAACCAAAATCTATTCATATCAAACTTTAAGGAACCAGGAAATAGAAATATTAAAAAATTTTTTACTAAAAACCCTTGAAATTGCATCTTTGGGTTTCAATTAATCTTATTTAATTTTTTGTTTTGCAATTTTAACCCATATTTTGATGCTTTTATGGTTTTTATGCTAATGCACAATTGCATATTCATGAGCAGTAGTAGACGGAACTAGCCAGCAGCAGCGGCAGATGGTAGAGAGCGGGGTGTACAATGCTAACTACAACTACACTACTGCACTAGACGCATCACATATACCCTGTGACGAAGCCACTTACAATCATGAGCAAGCAGAACTATGATGTCATCCAAGGTACTGAATCTCAATGTTGCACTGATTTGTGCAAAGAAAATTTCTAAATTCTTTTAACCACTGCTATGGCAGATTTCATTTTCTTTGGCAATTTATTGCTGTGTAAGTATATGGCAATAATCCAGCGAAAATCCTTTTCACAGAAATGTTCCCAGATTAGCAAATTTGGGGTTCACAATTTGAACATGAAAACATGCAACTTGAACCATGTCTTCCTGGATTTACATCAAAGCAAAAGCGCCCTCACTTGTCCAGAAATTCTTGGTCAATTTTTAATGTTTGAAAAAGTGCACTGTTCAGTTCACTTAACTCAAAAAAGATGTCAAACAGTCTTCATACATGGAAGAAGAGTACAGAGATACACAAAAAGTGATTCTAAGAAAAATTCACTTTCGGGATCCTTTAAGTCACTCCAAATACCATTTGGTTTGGCAAGAATTTGGTACCCCAGCCTGAACAAGGTGTAACAGTTGTAATAAACAGTAGAAACATTGAACACATGTTGGAATCCAATCCTGTGAACCTTGTTGCGAGACTTGAATCAAATGCACTCCAAGCTGATATGTTGACCCTAACCCTCCTCAATCCTCCAACAGGTGAAGGATTGAGGAGGGTTAGGGTTAATGTTACTCACTTGAGCGTGGCTAGAAGCCTGAGAAAGTCCTTATGAAACATTTCCACTAATTTGGCTTCAGCATCCTGGGCTGTTAGAGGCCCAGCGGGGGTTTGGGCTCTGGTATTGAATCTGCAGAGGGGAGAATTTCATCACTGAGTGTTATCTTTCTTTTCGCAGAGCATGTTCAGGGTCTCGCCCCATACGGCTGCAAGGAAGAATACCCTGCTTACAAGCATATTTACGTGCTAAGCACCATTCAAGTATTCAAATCTGAGTAGATCACATGGCTTTGTGATGGGCAACTCAACTTTTGTTGAGCAAAGTCTTGGGCTAAAACCTGCGTACGCAACAGGTCTACTGAACGAAAATCTCTTTAAAATTGCCTTGAAAAAGATATTTCTCAAATGCAAACAGTCCAAGATGAGGTAATGCAGACTTTCTCCTCATAAGGCAGAGAGACTATGTTCATCGAGCAAATGGACTATAAATGGAAAATCAGAACGGCGAACAAAGACTGTGAAATGCAATATGGAGAGGGTGAAAACCGAGGGTAAATGCACCGAACACTTTGTTGCAAAATATTCCCAAAGCAACTAGCGTATTTATACCTGGCCTAGTTTTTGTAATGTGACTGATATAGGACAACATTCTACTTTGCAAGGGGAAAAACGAAACCACGACAATATGCCTAGTGCATTATCACAGTTACCCCTAGAGAAAAACATTTTTTAGAAACAGACAAAAGAAAAACATAGGACGAGAGCACTTTTTGCGATAGTGACGGTATTATTGGAAAGGGCTCAGATCAGCATTTCAGATATAATACTTATACGGTGGCCCTTAGGGTATAGCCTGACACAATGATGCAGAAGAAAAGTATCACTCTGATCAATGTTTTTCATTAAAACATGAGATCTCCCCTTCCTTTGGCAAAATACTCCCGAGTCCCACATATGCACACAGAAAATGCATTCAAAAACAGCTCACAAATGCCTCATTAAAGTTCAGCTGAATTTGCAGTCCTGTTATCACTGTCCTAAATCTGGATTCACCATGCATTATAAAGCTTCTGCATATTATCACCTGCAGCAGTGTTCTATGTTTCTACAGATTTCTAATCCTAGGAACTGGAATCCCAATGAAGGTTTACAAACAGGGCTCTGGAAGTGTGCCAGGAACCCTGACATACAAGTACAAAATCCCACCAAAAATCTCATCAAGAAGTGAATCACAATTGACCGGGCGGATGCAGCATGACATCCCAGAAGGGAAGGGGGATTTGAATTTACGTAGTGATTCTTCCCCTGGCAATCAAATTAGATTTTAAAAAGGTGTTTACACGCTGACCTCAATGGTGAGGGTTGGACAGTGATTCTGCTTCTAAAAGAATCAAGATCTCCAATTTTGAGAACAAGAGAAGTCAACTTATGGGAAACTCTTCACAGCCTCAGCAAAATTTGCAAAATAAAAATCTGCGTTAGGTACCTCTGAAGAAAGAATATTTCCAACTTGTCTTTCTATATTGATTGTTCTTGATAACAAGATTATGTAACCAGCTCTCGCAAAATTAATTCATGATTTTGATCAGAAATATGTCCAATCAACTAGTGGTATCTCTGGTAATGTTACAAAATTGTTGACGTGTTGCAAGGAAGCGAAATGCTAAAGCCTGCATCCCAAAGATGAAGACGTATCATCCATTTTCTAGAGACGCTCATTTGAAAGTCTTCAAGCCTACTTCTTAAAAATGCTGTTATACAACAATATTTCTTTTACAAAGCCCGAGGTCTATGAATGTTGGCCATTTTTCTCATAAAGTTGTAACTCTTTGCATGACAGATATTTTGTAGTGAGTAGGAAATTCCTCCTTTTTTACACCTACATTTAAATGTAATTTTATTTTTAACAATAAGCCACTCCAGGTAATTTTCAATTCTACACCATTGGCAACTGCAACAAAAAATTTTTTTTAAATATTAATTAAGGAAATAGATGCCAACCAAATAACCCTCTAAAGGATTACGTGGGAGAAATTTTACTTTTCAACCATCATTCACTTGCTTAAAAAGCCCCCACACACACCAGATTATCATATGTCTTTGGAATTCTCTCGAGGACTTCTTCCCTTGGGATTCTTTTAAGCACCCTATCCAGCGGGGAACAGATATCATGCCACTGATTTGATGTCGGCTCAAAAGTGCTTAACACTAAAGCCAAAGCAGATTGCCTCACCTGTGTGTGCCATCCATGATGATGCGGTGAGCGATACCGTTGTTCATCCTTGACATGAACTTGTGCAAGAAATCCCGGTAGTTAACGCGGCCATCTTTTCTGCGCAGGCTGGCTCTGTCAGTAGCAAGACAACAACAAATCATGAGAAAACAGGTCTTGCAACAAGAATTTGAATGTTTTAAAATGTTTAAGTTTATCCTACTCCCGACAATTTATCACTTAGTAGTAAATGCATCTAACACCAGCTAACCGTAAAGCAATTGTACAAAAAATGCTTAGCAAATATGAAAACAGAACAATTTACGTATGCAAAATGCACTGTGATACAAAAGATGAAGTTACGTTATTTACAAGGATGTTTTTCCACAGCAATACTCAAGGAGAGTGAAATACATTAATTTATGAATATTTACAGATGTGGATACCCAGCTAATGTTGAAATCAAAATAGAAAATTTGGGGGTGGGGATGACAATCAAGACCTGTGGATACGCCACTAAAGAAAACAAAGCATATCCTATGAATTGAGATAAAAAAAAGTCTGTGGCTACCTTTCAAGCAGGTGCTCTATCTCCGCTGGTACCATGGGAAGGTCATACTCCAGAAGGATGTCACGGAACTGGGCTCTGGAGACTGTGCCGTCGTTACTGTGGTCAAAATGCTCAAAGCCCATCAGGAATCCGTGGTAATTCTGCTCCATCTGGTAAGCCAAGAAAATGACTTTTCTCGTTTTCTTCAATTTTTTTTTACCGATGTCTTTGTGAGAAGGCTGGATTGTATGGTAGTCATTTATAAATATGTCAATATGGACACCTTAAAAACTTGACACACTGAACGGCAACCCACATATGTACAGAGTACCGATATGGGCACATTCAATCTTACCTTTCTTAACAAGAAAGAGATAATGTCAACAGAGGGTGGTCTTGGAACATCAGTAGGAGGCCGTTCCATCGGTGGCTCCACATTCTCCGTTTCCTCAACAAGTTCCTGAGTTTCCTCTGGTATCTGGGGCTGGAGGGTAGAGTACAGAATGTCATTTGTAATATTTAGGAAATCTGGTCATTGTGCATTTCAGATGCCTGAATTTGTCATATTGTTAGAAGCAGCAAAGTACAGGTCTCCGGAACTTGAAAGTAATGTCAAAGTTGCAAATATTTCAGTTTACAAAAAAAAAAAGAAAAATGAAAAAAAAAGTCCAAATTTCCACATATAACCAGCAAAAAATTTCAAGACAGACTGTTCAAGACAGTCCATTAGTAAATTTAGACGATAAAAAAAGGAGACAGCTTGACATTTTCATCCTCGCTTGTGTGACTCCAGGGCTGCTTCTTGTTACAGTCCTCTTGTCATGTCACCTTTTAATACAGAAAGATTCCGCAAGGACCAAAATATCTGACTTGACATTTCCATGTTTCTTGTTAAGCGTCGGTGAGGGGTACACAGCAGGCTTTACATTTCACATTTCTGAAAGTTAATTTGGGTTTAAGGGTAGTGAGTGCTGTGTGGCCAAAACAAAGCTAAACAAGAGTGAGTACACACAAATTGTTATAACATTTTCTTCAGAATATGGATGCACAAACCAGTGCTTCTTGGGTGGCAGAAATGTATCGACGCACTGGTGGCAGGCCGTACAACTGAAATTGAACTCAAGGGCCCCCGAGTCAGCCAGCTGTAATGTTTTACACTTCTAACAATGAGTTGCTTATTTGTACATTTTCCATGTGCTGCTCTCTGAGTGTATATGCTTACCACCCATGGAGTCCTGGGCTGGTTCCTGACTCGCGGGGGTGCTGTCTTGGCCCGCGCTAAATGGTGCCCTCTACTGTCCAGACCAATCTGGATGAAGAACCAACTGCTGTTGACTGCCCCAGTATTTTCCAAGTCGTACCTGACAAGGAAACTCGCCGTTAAGCCTAGACATTCACAGAATCTACAAAAATCCCTCTTTTAAAATGTGTTTGAATGATATGTCACAGAAACTTTGAAGACCTTTTTTTCTAAGTTGGGTTTGTCCTCTGTGGATGTAACTTTATGAGCTCTGAGAACTCATTCAATGTTGTCCAGGAGTTTTTTAAAAAACATCTCAGAGGCTTGCTCCAATGGGAGCCAAATTCAATCATGTAATTGCCTACTGCCCACTACTGATTCAAACTGGCAAGCTAGCCCTAGCAGCCTGAATGGTTGGAAGTAAGAGGAGGGTAGATGGCCACACTATAACACCAAGGGGTGATCAAGTCTTGATCAAACAGGTGTTTCTGAGAAGCTCTTTGAATGGAACAGAGAAAACCAAGTCATAAAAGGATGAACATTAAAATGTCCATCTACACGATACAGAATTCCACAATGAGTTGGGTTGTTTAATGCACACAGACAGAACTGCACCTTTCCCATAATTTCTGCATTTCGTAGTCGTCCAGCCTGACCCCAAGGCTCGCCAGACATTCCTCCAACTGTGGTGGCAGAATGACTGCCCCTGGGTCAAAGCACGAGGGTGCTAGATGACGTCGGATGTCAAAGTCACTGCAAAAACAAAAGGAAAACTAAGATTTACACTGTTTGTTTTATTTTTCAGATTTATTCTTCATTTACAGAGTGCAAAACATTTCAATTTCAAGAGTAAATTCTAGTGTGGTGAAATTTCACTTTCACATTTAATAGGAAAAGATGCGGTTTCTTTGAAACAACGCATTTGCCCTGGCTTAAGAAAGAAGTAGTTTCATTTTTTGCAAGCACTTGAGGTTTTTTGAGGGGTGACGAGCCTGCTGTCTGTTTCATAATTATCACATTGCACTTAATATGGGCTTGCCACTGCAGACATGTAAAAAAGACGCAAAATCACTTCCACATTTTCATTCCATTTTACATGAGGCCAGGTCTCTTCAAGCGGGTCATTATGAAATGCCTATAAAAGTAACAGTGTATTTAAAACAGACACTGATCACGTTTTAACCACTAGATCATTTCAAACAAGCCAGCTCAAGATACATAGTTAATATTGGTAAAAAAAGCACCATTTTTGAAAATAAACAGTACATGTATAGGTTGGCCAGATGTTAAAAACAAAGTCAAATTACCACAGATACTGATTCCCAACACTCATATTTGCAGCATTCATAATACTTGCCACACTCCAAGGTCTCGCCACTGATCGATGCTAACTGAGACAGGCTATGTATTGCAGTCAAGTTCAATTACAACACAGATGTGCCAGATGCACGGTGTACATGTACGTGTGTATGCACTTAAGAATGGGAGCATGAGATGCAAATTGATGTCTAAACACACGTTTGCATAACCGCCCAAGTGTGGACATTTTTTGTTTCATGTAGTTAAGAAAGAAAACTTGGTTCAAATCCTCATTTTTCTTGCACTTAGAACAGTCTTTTAGGCTGGAGTTTTGTTGGCTTTCTTGACTGTTCATCTTCCGCAGCTTGTCTTTCTTCCCTAACCCCAAACTTCATGTGCCTCTGAAACTATTTTGCAGAAGAGGAGAGTCCTTCTTTAGATCTAGGTAAGTCCACAGTTCCCCCAAGGAATATTCTGTTGATCTCTTTTGTTCACAGGTCCACACTAGGTATGTAAAGTTGGCCAACACATATACATGTACTTGTTACATAATTAGGACTACATAGATGTTGAAATGTTACGGGACCAAAAATATCACGATGACAATTTTGCCCCAACAACTCGGTACCCGACTTTCCTTGCAGAAAAAAATTGTCCCGTCAATGTGGTAACAGCCTACCCATCACAAGAGACTCGAGGAGACCTACACAGTTTAAAGGGTCCATGATGCAAATCTTTCACAGCTGGGGACCAGTGACACACTGCACACATTGTATGAAATTTGGATGGTAACCCGTTTTTTGCTGAAAATGTTTCTCTGGTTTTAACGATCACTTTACTGAGAGAACCCACCTGTGCCTGCACTTTTCCTTCAGCAGGGCATTGGCATACGTTGCCATCACCAGCTCAGGTACAGGCTTCTTGAAGCACAGGTGGTCCTCCAAGTGGTTCTTCTTGCGTTCGGCTGACAGCTCCATCCTTGCTGCGGGACTCAGCCACTCCCTCTTTACAGTCTGCAGCACAAGGTGCGTTTTCAAGCAATTTTCAGTGAGACACAGAAATCTGAAGGAAGTTGGGGCTCCAGGTCACTGTGTCAGCTAGGGCCTATTATTTGGAGTCTACTCTGCTTCACTAGTGTATCATCCCAAACGTTATTACAACAAATTGAAACTTTTCAACAAGATATGGTCTCTTTTTAAGGACACTCTCTCCTGAGGTTTGTGTGTACAATTCTAAGTGTATGCTTAATTTCAAACATTTTGTCAAATTAGCATGGCAACTAAGTTTTTAAACCTTGATAAAAAAACACACGAAGGCTTCATCTACACACATCACCTTTGAAAACTCAAATATGCTAACTTTATGTCCCAATATGTCATGAGTTAATGAGAGGTCAATGACGCATTACGTGAGTTGTTTTGACACGTTCGGTTCCCTTTAACAAGTTTAATCGACGTTAGCCTGAAGCATGGTGATCTACTGGCTCTTGTATGGACATGACGCAAATTACAGTCTCATTCAAATCAGCTCATCTCTAGGGCATTTCCCAGAAGATGCATTGCCAGACCTGCCAACACGCTGTACTCCTTCCTGGGGTCAGGGATTACCACACAATAGAATAAAATTTTAAATGAATCGAAGGTTCATTGAAATACCTTTTAATCTATTGTGTGGTAATGCCTGACCTCAGGAAGGAGTGTGGCTGGGTTTGGCAGGTCTGCACTGCATTCACATGCATTTGTACAGTGCAATGGGCATCTAGTTGACTAAAAAGGTCTCAAATGGGAATTTTAGTCACACAACGAGGGATACCAGAATTTTGCATCCTTCTGAAGAATCAAGGTTAATTAAACTAAAAGTTATTCTCGTGGCTATTGATTATAACAAAATTATCTTTCTTATCAATAAAACTTACACCAACATATTGGAAATGAATTTATTTGCAGTATCATTTACCTCGTTATCACGGAAGCAGGCAATAAAATTGTCAAAAGAGACCGTCTCCATTTCATCAAGTCCCAGCCTGGAATACCAAAACAACAAGCATAGAACATACATTCATTGACCAAATCTAGCCCAGATCAAAGTCAGAATAACTAAACCAAGTTGTTGACCTGTTTAAAACTTCACATTTTAACCTGGCATGAGTTGATAAAGAATAGAGTCAGTGTTTTAGAAATCCTGGTTTCAATTCAATCTGTGCATAGTAAGAGCAACATTACAACATGTTCACAGCATTGAGGGTTCAACTACGGATGTTTTGAACATCCCCACATATTCATAACATATTAGGTCCAAAACAACATGTTCAACTAATCTTTGACTAACCTAACTAGCAGTTTCAGAGCCTTTTTACTATGTTATATCATATTTAGCTCAATGCCAAATGTTACATTTGTCTTTAAAATAACCTACGTACAGCAAGCAGTTTTTGAACCTCTCTACTAGGTTACACTGTGTTCAGCTCAAAGCTAAATGCTCCACTTGTCTTAGACTAACCTAGCTAGTAGTTTTTGAACCTCCTCCCTGGTCAGATAACCAACAAGGTGATACAGAATACGGGTCAGGGCAATCTTAGAGACAGTACTATTGCCTTGGGGGTCGTTGGCTCGGAAGAGTTGCTGGAGACCATGGAAACTGGTGGTTAGCTTCTCCCGGATTATCTCAAAAAGCTGAAAAAAAAATAGAATCGAATCAAATAAAAGTCTAATTAAAATTAGACAAGTATGGAAAGTATTGATCTTTGGTCACACAAAAAAATTGATTTTCAGTTAAGTTTAGTTGGTGTCATTTTCTCAGTTTCTTAAATGATTCTTGAGAAAATCCATTAACATTCAACAATTAACAATTTTTAACTGCAATTTTATCCAAAAAGCGGGAAATTTATTAATTATTATTTTGGGGGGGGGTATGTAGAGCCTTCAGGGCTAATTCCACTGATGTCTTACAGTCACTTTGACGTTACTTTTATGAAATCAGAAATATGAAGTTATTGCAAATGCTTTTCTTTCCAAGACGAGTATCCCACTGACTGTGCTCACATGAGTACAAAAGATTAAAAATGACCACAATGATATAGAACCTTTTCCCAGATTGAATTAAAACTTCACAGGTCCAAATGTACACTTGAAACAGATGCCTTCATTTGCATGCCAAGTGTCAAAGAGATCGGCAATGAGACAGCTAAGATCCTTGCCCTCAACTGCCTCTATCCCCAAGAGAGCAACATAAAATGGACCAAAACTTTCAGAAAACTAAATGCACGTCAAAAATGGTTGCAAGGGACATGATAAAAAGGGGAACTGCACATTGATTTTTTTTCCGTAAGCGTTATGGTTTTCAGCATCAAGGTGTTAACATTTGCGTAGCTGAAAATCATGTTAACTACCATGAAAACATCAACTAGGTTTGCTTCCTCAACTGGGCAACAGTCATGAAAAATTCACGGCAGGTAAATGGTGCTTTTGTGGAGGCACAAACAAGTATTGATTTTGACAGCCTGGGTCCACATACATCTAGTGGTTAATAAATACACACTGGCTTCCTACTTTTATAGTCTTGTTTGCCTGGCTGCACACCAGCCAGACTTAGTGTGAGATAATTTGAAGAGGATTAGGCTTCAGAAAGGGAGTCTCTAATAGCAAAGAATAGGGGAGTCCTGACTCTGTACACTGTTTGCAAACAAACAGGGGCAATAGCAAATACATGTACAAAAAGAAGTTGGCAAATATACCCTGAGCACTACAGCATTCTGTAAGATGGGATTATGCCTCCCATAAAAATTCCAACTTACTAATTTATGGCCCATTCTTGAGCTTAGGGAGTAAGAAATAAATGTAAATAATTGATGATTTAGGGGTTCAGGCATACTGTGAGTTATCATCATGCATCAATCAAGGACTGCAAATCAGATAAGATTTTTTTTTACAATATCCTGATGCTTAAATGGGCTTACAGTGAGTTACTGTGGGTTAAGAACCTTTGAGGAAAATCATGTAAAGGTTATTTCTGGAAGTTCTGCATTTCTGCTACATTTACTCTTATGAGGTTCTGTTCACGACTTTAATTATTAGGAAAACAATGTACACAGACCTCCCCCCCAAAAAAACTACAAACCAAACCTGAAAGGTGTATGATAAAAACTGTTTTCCAGGATCACACAAGCATGTAGAATGACAACGAATATCAACAGAAGATGACAAATTACAACTGGACCATATACACCGTACAATACCACCAATTAAATTAATGTTACAAAATAAATGCATACGCGACTTGTTTCAAGTACGTACACAAAAACAGGTAGTGTGTTAACCAATCAAGAAAAAAAATGAAAAGCATAAACAAAAAAACACCCTTATGATGGAGCAATGTTAATTACTGCATAGCTGAAAGTGCCCATAATCGCCATCAGCATGGGCATCACCAAGATTTTTATAGGGAGCGGCAAGATGTTTTCTAAGCAGCAAACTGACAAATCACAAACGCTGGAAGGCGGTTGAATTTTTTGCAAATTGGTCAATTTCATTCCCTCTCCCCCCTTGTTTCTCTCACTTTTTCTTTTTCTTTCTTGTTCCCCCCAAAAGCAAGCGATCTCCCTCACCCTCTATGACATCCATTACCACCAGATACACGCACCTCTTCTTGACATCAGGACTGGACACCCACATATTTAAATCAATCAAGACTACATGTACTGGTACATTATCAACCTGATTTATTCACCACTCAGTGGTCACCCAAGTATCCCTCAAGTGACTTCAGTCATTACAAGTCTCCATCAATTCCCCAGAGTTCTCAACTCCCCGACACAATTTATTAAGCGCACTCCCGTGCCTGTCTTCCAAATGATTCCATCCATCCAAATCAATTAAGATAGCAGTCCCTATTCACTTCAACTAATTAATTCAATTTCCAAGTGACAAACGACTGGTGTTTTGATCAGAGAGTCCACTTACCTATCGATCTGGTTCTCCTCTATCTGTGTTTATGCCACCATATTACTCTACTCTTGATAAATTGGCTTAATACAGTCCTACGCTGCTCTATGCAGCTGCTGCATTAGGGCTGCAGGCAGTGGCCTATTGATTTCTTTTCACGAAAGCCCCGTCCTTCACTATTGTTACTGACTTTGGACTTCAACTTCCCAAAATCCCAACTCCCTCCAAAAATCTAAAGCAACAAGTTCATACATAATGGTACTATTTAGAACGGCTCTGGCAAATGATTGACGATAGTGGATTCTGAGGCCTCAAAGCCCACCTGACACCTGTCCCAGTATAAAATAGTGCCACAATCTCCTTACCTCTTCTGGTACATATTTCTTTCTTGGCGTTCCATAGACTCCTTGCACTCTGGCAGAAAATGCCCGCTTTTCACCTGGTTGCTGCTCGTGAACTTGATGGGAAAAAGAAAAATATAAGACATCTTTCAGGCTATCTTGATAAACGCAGACTGATTACTGTCTGATATAAGGACTGATATGACACGTTACCTGGTGATCAGCCACGCATGACCCCAAAACACACCCATTCCTATTTCTTTCTTCCATCTTAAAGGATAACACTGGAGATTCATCTTTCCTTGAGCACCTAATAAGATCTTTGAGTTTCGAACACTCAACCACAGCTCCCTGAATTGAGTATCTGCTCAGTAGGAAAACAAGAGATGGCATATTTTGTGACACAACAACCATAGTGTCTGTCTCAACTGAACTCTGTTGCTTTAGTTAAGTTGACCCACCACGTATTGGGCCGGCCCAACTATGGCACAGAGTGCCAGTGGGTGCCATAGTACATGCCAACGTCGTTTCATTCATATCAGCAACTCGTGCTTGCAGAAACAAGTTTTATTGTGATATGGATGATATACTAGGTTGGCATATTTTTGATGAGTTATGTTGAGTGCGACATGGTATGAGCTGCATAAACTTTTGGCTGTATTGAAAAAGGTAGAGAGATTTCTTTCAGAAATTTGCCAGCTATAGTTGGGCTGCCCAACTGAAGCACTGTGGTTTGGACAATCTCGACTATATTTTACAAACCAACGATGGGGTCTTGCTATTTAGCGTCAACTAGCCTCATACTTATGCAAAAAATTATATGTATATTAATTAGACATCTACAGATATATGCAATATATCATATTTATCTAAAATGATATTTGAGTCTGGAAATTTGAGCGGCAAAGTCAGTTCTGCTCATGTAGCCAAACTGGCCACCATCGTGTGTGGACTTGTTGACGGCTGAGAAAAGAAAGATGGCAGACCCCATACATCGCAAAAAAAAAAGTTTTCCTGCGTGAATATGGAATAAAATTCCATTTATCTTACACAGTAGAACGTGTTAAATATTTAAAATATGATAAAACCACTTTGAAACATTTAGAGGGTATGTTCAAGTTGTTGATGCTTTGTTGACGCTACTATGATGCTGCTATATGTGCAATGGCCGAATAAATAATAATCATAACAACTTGTGTTGACACTTGTTGAAGCTGAATAGCGAGACTACCAACAAAGTCCTCTTGGTGGGAGCAAACCCCGCGTGCGCACAGGTTAACATAGGTTCGTGCAAAAAAACCCCAAAAAATGACCTCCCTTCCTACCCCAAATTTTCAGAAATTTCTTTATTTTATTATTGGTAACATCAACTGCCGAAATTAATTGTAATCAAACAGTATACACTGTAGTGCAACTATCCAAAGCCAAGGATTATCTCAATAACAACTTATGTTCCACAATTACATGTACAATGTAGATAATGAACATGTAGGCCTACATTTCAATTTCTTTTTTTCTTGAACGTGGGCAATGTTTTTCTGGTTAAAAAAAAAACTACCTGGTGGCCAAGTGAGCATTCTGTTGTGTTTCCGTCTGCTGAACCCTCCACCCACGCTGCTGTCCAAAGACTCTCCCAGTTGTCTGTTCTCTTTCTCCTTCGAATGGACGGGAACCCCCTCCCCCTTTTTCAGTGGGGGCAAATTTCTATTTAGCCCGTTGGCCTGAGCGTCGCCACCCGCTCGGCCTTCGTCTCCGGACGGAGGCGAGCAGCGGCCTAGGGGAGTGATCAGGTCCCCTCGGTTACTGCCCCGAACATTCAGGGTGTTTTTGTCCCCAAGACGGGCTCTCGGGTGCTCGATAACTGGCAAATTGGACGGTATTCCGGCCGAGGTTGTTGGACGTCGATTTTGCACTACTGCGGTCGCCATGTTGATGCGTGGATCAGAGGTTTAGTCAATCATCAATAAATGTTCACAAAATACTGAATAGCTTCGTCGACAATCAAACTATGAACATGATTACTTACACACTGACTGCAGATACCAAACATGCAACGCAAGGAAACTATGCTCCCCAAAATTGTGTCATTTCAAGCTTTTTCTTAAATAAATAAGTATTCTTCTAACAATCTGCAACCCACTGCTTACAACTTATACAAGCACGCCTCAGTGTTCATTTACTACGTATGTACGTGCAGGTGCTTCTGGACTTTCCTATTTTTTTTACGGGAAAGCTTAAATTGTAATATTTTAATTCATTGAGTGGACACACAATAAATGGGATAACTTTATCCTGATAATCTATAATTGAGCTTCAATGAAATTGAATGCTACAACTAGCTTCCTTCATTCCAAATTAATTAGGTACAGTTATATTGTAAATTTGTAAGACAGTACCAGCAAGTCCCCTCTCAAAAAATGCATCATTCCAGGCATTGCTTGGATACGGGCTTTTGAGGTGAAAACACATGTGACCCGCCGTGCCGCTAAGCGCTGACACGCACACACAACCTACAGCGCGCTCAACCAATCACTCAGAATTTGTCAATTAACACATTTAATCTGATTTGGAATTTTCAAATCGCAATTACTTTTGCCGACTGCGATTCATGTTTATCTGCAGTGGACAGACTAAAGCAAATTTCCTACCCCCTTATTCAAATCAACTGATCCAGTATAACATTCAACAATTGGCGGATCCGGGACCATATGCCCCCCCCCCAAAAGGGGGTGGGCCAGAAATTGTAAAAGTTAAGGTTCTAATGGTCTCTCGCTTCAATACTAGCATTTTGTTTTTGTAAATTAATGCAAAACCAATACCTCTTCCCATCAGGCTTTGCTCAATATAAAAGGGTAAAGAATATGTTTATATTGGTTAAAATACATAAACTAAATTTTTAAAATATATAAACTAAATTTCTTTTTATAGTTAAAATTTAGTCCAAACACAAAATTGAGGCAAATTTTAAACACTTCAGTTCCATCCTGAACATCTATTGTCCAATGTAAAATTTATTACATAAATTTCATGAGAAATATGTATTTCTATTACTGTTCCTCTAATTTAAAAACAATGTAAATATAGCAGTACAAATTCAGCACACAAAGTTCACAAAAATGCACCATAAATGATGGGAAAAGAACTTTATTTCAAAAAAAAATTAAAAAACAAAACTTTTACAAGAATAATATGAAGTAAACAGAAATAATACATTACATATGACATAAGTATAAAAATAACTTAGATTTGGAAGATGAAGACTGGACCGGATAAAGATGGTTTCCAAAGACAACCAATCCAAGTAATCATGGAGACAAAGTAATTCACTTTGGTACAGTTGGGATCACTGCAAGATCCAGAGGGGCAAACGTGGGAGGGGTGCAAATGGGGGACTTCATATTATGACAGGGACCAATCTTATCGGTCTATTTCGTTTCCCTTCCTTTCAAAAGTAGGTGAAAAGCCTTACGCTTACCCTCAACCCTTGGATAGGCCATAAGGTTATATAATGAAATCCTCAAATTTGGGGGCACCTCTTTGAAAAAAATGGCCCCGTCAAAAACTTGGCTCTGGATCCACCCATTGTTGGGACCTCAATAACAACTTGTGTTCCCAAACCTCAACAAACATGTTAGCCTTGATCTAATTAAATAAGACTTTTCTGTTTGTTCCCTGATGCAAAGTTTTTCCAACTTAAAGTGGTGTCCAATATCACATTACATCATTTGTTCATCTATCTATAAAATGGGACTTAAACCTGTTCTATACATCTAATAAACAAGGAGAATCCTGACAAGAGAAAAGAAGTTACTGACAGCTTTTTGCAAATTTGTCAGTAAAATAATTAATCTACTATAACATTCTCTAATCAGTTTTCATATAAAGATGGTGATGTCACATCAAAGCCCACCACACAAAGTTCACAGACCTGTGACATAATGATGTCATGCTTTGCTTTTATCTGTGCTTTCCTATTGGGACTTGATGAATCGTGTCCCATCTCAATGCTACAGGAAAGCAGACACACGAGCAAAGCGTTTGTTACAGGTCTACAACTGCTAACTTTCCACATACCTCCTTCACTTTCTTATAAAGAATTTAATCTTATAAAAACTGAGCAAAGCTAGAAGTTAACATTCAAGTATGTTTGTTCTGTTGTTGAAATACTACTTTTGCCTTGTCCAACTAGCACATCAGGTTGTTTCAAAGCTGCAGAAAATAAACCGCTGACAGACAAATACCCAGCTACTGTCATAGCACACAATCTTAAACAGGATTTACAAAATTAGCACATCTGCTCCATTATTTTGTCCATTAAAAATCAACAGCACCCTGCCTCTACAAATGGCAACTTTTAAACATTTACGCTAACAAGTACTTCACAAACTCTGTAAGTCCAGTGTCCATTAAAGCCACTCACATGAGCCTTGATGATTAAATAATCCCAGTTGTTGAAAATGTTTTGAGTTAAGATGGGTGGTTAATGGCAGTGCTGTGGTTGAAACTGTCTATTCCCAATACACTGTATTTACATACTCCTGGACAAAAGTATGCAATTTCCTCTCCTGAAACAAATTCACATAATATTTCACATCTCGATTCATTATCCTTGGCCTTCGGTCACTGGCTTAATTCCAGTTTCAGCGACCCCTCCTGACAAATCCGACTTCAACTCTTTCACTACACTCCCTCCATTACAGATTTTAAAGACTTAAAACTTATCCACTAAAGCTTTTGTGGAGGTGGAATGCCTTTGTTCGCAAACTCTTTTTTAATTTCAGCATATTCTATGTTACTAATAACTGCAAATTCAAGCAAATAAGCTTTTGAAAACATGGCTACCATTTTAGTGACAATTTGATCAGTTTGGCTGAGAAAACTTCAAGATCCTCATAAACTACCCTGTTTGAAATATTCAAGCACAGTAAAAAATTCTGAACACATTCACATGCCTTCAAAAATGTTCTCACACCATAAATGTCTGTAACAGTCTTTGTAACAGAAAGTGATCATCTTATCAGAGAAAAAAAAAGAGCAACTCTAGAAACTGAGTTCATGCTGGTTAATTTTTTTAATCACTTTGTATTATCTTACATTTGCTGTTCTTAAAATGTTCCATGTAATGAAACATAGTCAGGTGTAGCCAATTTAGCCTTATCTTGCATGATCATTTTGCTGGAGTGGTAAAAAATTGTTCATGTTTAAAGAAGTGCAGTTTTCACTATGATTAATCAAAATACATGTCAGTTTTCACACATTCATGAGGAAAGGAAAGTTGAATGAAATACATCCCCAAAGTTTTTGCCCAGGGCCCTAAGATTTTAGGGCTTTTTTTTGGTGGGGGGCACTCAGTATGAACTATAATCCAAAGCAGCTTGTCTATATCGATCAAGCCTGTCAAAACATCTTGCTTTACTGGTGCAAAAACTGTTACCTTATTCACTGCTGGATGTGCTCAAGAAGACTGGCTTTTGAGAGATCACTCTCTATCAACTTGCACAAAAGTTAAAATACAAAGCATAACTGTGTCGTTCACAATAACTTTTTACGAAGCCATTTACAGGTATTTTTTTTAATACAAAAATGAGTTGTGGGACCATTCTTGTAAATCTATACATGCACAGCATGTCCCAACTATGCCAATGAAATACAATTGGTTACAATAATCACTACATAGAAGACAGATACAATGTCTTTCTGTTGCAATGGGACACAGCCCCCTAAAAGAACTGTATCCAACCCTTTCGGAAAATCAATCAAGTGCAAAACTTGAGTGTCTACAGTACCATGCACATGTTCCAAGTACCATCCTAACGTTTGCTGCAAAAAGTGCAAAATGGAGATGCTTTGCTCACCACTTCACACTGACCCCAAGCCCAAATGGCAGACACGTAATACGTGAGGACCATTTGTTCTCCAAGCAAGAGGATTTATGCAGATATTGTATAAACCAAATACTTAATGCTTCACATTCGTCTCACAGAATGGCACATTTCATCTGTCACCTCATGAAATTATTCTACCTACTGCACTCATACACATTCACTACTTGTACACTAATGGACCCTGACAGTAGCTTAGTTCATTCCTTGGCATCAGTGACATCTTTGAAAATGGAAGCACTCAAAGACACTTATAAACAGCGTATTCATCAAGATTTATATTAGTGGCGTAAAATGAAATATTCAAGAATGTAAATAAAGCACCCCAAAATATTCAACTTTAGATGCCACGCGTTATAACTTGGTGGCCACTATTCAAACATGGTGGGAGACAAGTGGGTCACTAGACTACTTTCATGGGTTAGAGAAGACTGTAACTAGTTGTCAATTTCATCCTTGAGCCAGTGATCAAATAATTTCTCATGATTTTTCTGACCCCGGCCAGCAGTTTTTCTAGAATCTGCAAATGTTCTCACAAGATTGCAGTTTTGCTATCCTGGTTTTATCAATGCTTTGTGAGCCTTGCCACCACAAACAGGCAATTTGTCCATACCACTAAAACATCTACATGTTCTATACCCTAAAATTGATATTTTACCCTGACTCCAAAGAAATAGGGAAACTGAAGTCTGGCAAGAATAACATATAAAGGATTTTTAAATTTTGGTTTGGTTTTCAGGAAGTATGACGGTGTATATACACATAATCTCTTTGTTTTTTCTTTTTCTTATTATTTTGGCAGTCTTGCAATCACAGAGCAGCATTTCTTGGAATCATTCTAAATGACTCACTGCACAGCCCAAAGTGAACTCTGCATAAACCTAAATAATTTGTACTTACAATACTATTAGTATGATTCAAAATATAAAACACCTACCTAAAAACAACTGCACTATAAATAATAACACAAAACAAATTACACATTACAAATAGCACACAACAGGCTTAAACTTGGGAAACTTAAATAAATGCTGAAAGAATTCCTGACAAAAAGCTTTTTGCATTTAGTCCTCTAAACTTCAAGCCTCACCCGATCATTGTTTTCATAAACTTGATAAGGTAACCGAGATTACCATTTTTAAAAAACTATGCAGATAAATACTCAGCCTGAGGTAACACATTGTACAAATACAACTTACATGTCATTTTCAACACTTAAAATTATGGTCATGATGCACTGCATCTAGATTTTGGATATTTAAATGATTGTCGAACCTCAATCAAACGGCACCTAGCCTCCAAAGCTATTTTTCGTTGTCTCCATAACCAGAGTAATAGCCCTGTGCATAAGTATTCCCCTACTGCTACAAAGAGAAAGTCTGGCCGATGACTTCCATGCCACTGCTCCTGTGTGCCTTGGATATTGTCCCTGGCCGGACTGTGCATTTTAAGAAAAACAATGTTTGTGCGGACAAGGCGCCCTATGTGCGCACAAATGAATGTCTCCCCCAATGGAAGAGGTTGCTAGGTAACAAAGAGCCCTGTCTCAGTGATGCACTGAACCCGCAGGTTGAAACTTGCCAAGCTTCATGCAGGTTAACAAAGTAAAAGCATAAACATTACGTTTTATCATTGTTTCCACCAAAAAGCAACCATGTACTTAAAATAAAATGTTCACACAATGAAAAAGTCAGCACATGTAACAGCAAAAAGCGCAGTATATTTCTCCAACAACTTTCACGGCATTCACATCACTTAACCTTATCACAATAATGCATATTAGGCTGTACGATCCATAAACCCAATTATTTGCCGTTTCATCTCCCTATACACTGCCAAAAGTAGAAAAAACAATCTCCCTACTTGCTTCACATGTGCTGCACAGCTCACTGATCTTTCCAACTGACATTTAAGAGGCAGCCCACATGAAATGCCCACCTGTCAAATCTGCACAATACATGCGGCCACTACGATCTTGCCGTCACGACACACAACATATGGCTGGTTGGGCATCCTTGCGTGACACATCAAGCCTTTCTCAAGGACATCTAGGATAACTTGTACGGGGCAAAAACAAAAAGCATGCTGCAGTGGCACAAGAATCATTAGGAATACAAGGCATGATGAGGTACATGCAATTAGGGCAATACCCTGGGTCCTGAGATGCGAGGTGACCCAAATTTATGGGGGTTTTGGGGGTGTTTGTGGGTTTTTGGTTTTTCCAAAAAATGACTACATCGTAGCTTTGCATGGCATGCCTGACAACACATCACCTGAGTTCCAGTAACAAGAAGCAGGTTTCACGTGACTTTTAGGCTGATAACCTGTTTTTCCTAGCCAAATATTTCCTGTGTTTTGCAAAATGGCTGTGCTCCGTGAAATCAGACTTTACTCTTTGGCTACATGTACATCCCAACACAATACAGCTCAGGGAAAGGCACTTTGCGATTCTGCATTCAGTAGACTTGCCACGGTGAGTTATGAGGTTACTTGTGTCATTGCGACTCATTCGTAATTCTTCCCTCGGTGGATTTGTGATGTGCTTCTGACCCTTTCCCCAGAAGAATGAACACTTCCCTTCTCGACGGGCTTGTTTGTTTTGCACGGATCCAGATCCGGCATTGGTACACCGACACTGTATCCCACCTACTAAATAGAGCAAACCAGCACTGCCATCAGCAGAATGTACTCAGACTAAATTAACTACCATTCATACCACCGTGGTCTGGTACTGCTGCCTTCTGTCTGTACAATGGACGTCACTAGGCTATTTCAAAACAGGGGGGGGGTTGCCATTCAGAAATACGCCTATGGACCATCCCCAAATTTCCTGAGTGGAATGGTAGTCTGACTCCCCGACTTGACACCTACATTGTATGTGACCGTGACCCTCCCTTTCCATTTCCTTCCGCATTCTTGCCGACAGCACCATAATTTGCCAATACATCTCACTAATGTGGAAGGCTGACAGCCCCCAGTCCTCCATTGATGTCCTTGAGTGTGGGAACTTTGAATTTTGCTTTTTTCGGTTAGTATACAGAGTAAAATTACCAAGCACTCTCTACTTTTGGTATTCAGGGAAGACACGAGCATTTAAACTATTATTTCAATGAGAAAAGATGATTTGGGATGAAAACAGCTGATGTCATGCTACTTTTTGTTAAAGGAACACGTTATCAGCATGCGCTAGGAGTATCGGACAGAACAGATATGGCACATTACAAACGTACATTATTTCCAACATGATCGGTGCGTGTAAGTGTGTGTACAACCCCACTTGAGCACGTAGGGTCTATCTCATACATGTATGGCCATATTGATTATCCCAAATGACCTTCGACAGACAATACACTTCATTTTATGTAAAGCACTGATGGAATACTGATCGCTGGCACATTCATTGGAAGGAAAAGTCTCCAAGAATCAACCAAACAGAAGGCCAGATCCACAATGTCAACAACCTTACTGCTGAATTGGTTGACTTCAGCTCGACGTTTGCTGCCATTTAAGTGCCCCACTTGGCCGTTTTTTTAATCAACAAACTATAAATGAACTAACTTTTATACCTGCTACAAAATTGCCAAACACAGGAGAGCAATTTTTTTCATGTCAACAAATGTACAATTCAGCTCTTGATGGCTAATACTTCAAAACAAAAATTCCCAAAAATGAGAAAAGAGAGAAAAGCATGTAAGGAAAAATCACAAATTGTCAGTGGAAGACACAATCTGTGGAAAACGTCATTTCTTTGAAATAGCCAGTACTGGAAAACTTACTGTTGGAATAAAGATTTGGAGAACAGTGACTTGCCTTATAAAATAGGTTTGAAAACGACCAAAGCACAATAAAATTCATTCCAGGTTTGTTGCCGATTAGTAAAAAATACTCTGTATCTTTTCATCCAAACTATTTCACTAAATCCTCTTTTTTAAAACTCAAACACAGTTTTGCAGTAAAGTGAAACAATACTGCACAACACTCTTCCAAAAAATGTGTTTAAAATACTGATAGTCCATTTCTTAATCTCTTCATGTTATACTGTTGCTTTGCTAGCATTGTTTAATCTGTCAGTAGATCTAATGAAAAATTCATTTCTTTGGCAAACATCTTTCAGACAAATCAGCACTCCTAAGGTGCACTCACATTTGTAATCAGTCACAACGGCTGTTCACTCACATACATTGTACATGCATCTAATTCATCAGAGCTCCCAGGTTTCAGGGCAAAAGAGATCACAGGTACACCAAGGGGGGGGGGAAATGTGCACGTTATTCCCGGATCTTAACCACTTTGCACTGGGGAGCCTGGTTTCGGGTACCTTGGGTTTGTAGCATAGCCGGAGTGCCCGAATTCAGAAAAGAGCTGGGCCTTGTAACAAAAGACTGTACTCGGAGCAAATGACTGAGCTGCTGGGAATTGCCAACATTTTTTCAGTTGTCAATAGCAGAGGAAACCCGTCATTGTTTTGAAGGATTATACCACTGTTTGTGGCATTCAGCATGAGCCGATTACCACCAGGGACAAAAGCGCTCCAGCACTCCAGTGATGAGCAATACAGTACCGCTGCATGCTAATCTGGCCCGTATTGAACAGACACCAGCAGTGCACTGTGCCAGTTTCGGGAACAAAAGAAACTTATCTACCACTACACAATATTCGCTCTCGTTACAAGGCAACAGGCCTAGCTGAAGTACTCAGGCATAAATAGATGTTGCCTGTCAGATTAAAGTAGCCACCAGACAGTCATTTGTGTTGGTGTAAACATCCAGTAAACGAAGTGATGAATTTTTGAAGAATTAAGAAAACGGAAAATCTTGAAAAATGACCGTATTTGTGCATGGCCATTTTAACTGAACTCAGCAGCAACTGGTTAACATGTACAGTACATGTGGCTTCGATCTAATCATGATCCACTGGTTTAAGTTGTGGGTTTGGGAGGATTCAGGAAAAATTCCTGTCCCAGCCCAACTTCCAATCTCAGCCGCATCAGGGCATGAAGGAAAATGCCAGCAAGGATATCTGCTGGTGGACGCATGAAGTACAATGTACCTTCCTGGTGCAGACAGTCACCAGTGGGCCTCCCTTGATAGAGATGCACAGGTGGCAAAGCTCCACCATGAAAACCCTAACAGGACCTGGATTGGAAAAGATTCAGGGACACTCTTTGCTCTGAGTCACAACTCTGATGAATGGTGATGCATGGAGTCAACTTTATCAGTACTACAAATACAGCTGTTAAGCTTACGTACTAATGTACTTCTCAATCTGAAGACCATGATTTATTAAATCAGCCTCTCAGACAGGTGAGGAATCCCTAATGGGAACTATGCATACCTCTGTCTAGGCTAATTGAATACTGATGACTACATTTCTGTACTGTTGCTTCTGAGACGGCAGACTACTGGCACGGCAGACCTCAGCCTCTGATTCTCTCCGACCGTCTCCTTGGGTATCTCCGCGGCTGGGCATCTCTGAGCTGAGCATGGCGTCGGAGGAACTCCTCCCGCAGGTCCAGCTTGGCAGTGATTCGCCGCTGCTTGGCCTTCAGGATGTCGATGTAGGTCAGCTCGGGCCGGATCAGCTGCTCACACAGCCGTTCGCCCCGAGCAGTGGGCTTCAGGACGAAACTGTCCACCTTGATGCCCGGCGGGTACCACATCCTGGGGTCATGGGACTCCAGTTTCCCCCCGATGCATCTTTTTTTCAGCAGCTCGTTCCGGAGCCGCAGCTGGGCCACCTCCCCTTTCATCCTGTCCAGGCCGTAGCGCCGGATTTTCTCCCACAACGTCCGGTTGAAGTGATTGTACATAGAGACATCAGCTGCATTCCAATCCAGGATCTCCCTACGCATGTTGGCAGTGACACGACGGACAGAGGATTGGCTGCGGGCGTTCTGATTGAAGTACACGATGTCATCTAAGCTCCAGCACAGCAGATCCTTGAGAAGGATCAGGGACTCTTCAAAATACTCCGCGATCAGCACCACCTTGAAATTTCTCTCAATCATGGCGATGTAATCCCTGACCTCTGAGCTTGTGTCGTCCATGAAGCGTGCGTCCAGTCCCAGGTCATAGAGCATCTGGTTCCGGCCAGCTTGTCTAGGAAACACGGGCTCCCGCTGGAAGTAAATCTCGGGCTGCCTAAGAAAGCCACGCAGACCAGCCACTCCATAGCGCTCATCAAACTTGTAGTACGTGAAAGCGCTCTCAAACTGTTTAACAGGATCTCGAAGGATGGTGAAGTACACAGTGTCACTTGGCATCACCTTTTTCAGGCCTGCAGAAAACAATTGCAAAGCAAATATGAAAAACCTTCTGCCTCTGAAAAAAATCCCGCTTAGACCAAAATGCCAGACACTCCAAATTTTATAAAGAAACTATCCTTCACAACGATTAATGATTATCTTTCCTTGTAAGGGGACAAGAAACAAAGGGAACAAATCTGTATTTTTAAATTGCTCTGAAGTAAGATACGGGTATGTGATAACACAAACACTCAGAGGGCAATACAAAGTGTTGCAACAGCACAGGTGCCATGCTAATTAAACTTCATTCTCTGGCTATTTCCATCATGATTAAGGCTGTAACGATTCACGAATGCATCGATGATCGCGATTCTAAAATGCCCCCATATACAGCATCGTGATACAAAAATATGAATCAAGATATTTGGGGAAGATAAATTATGATGAAATGTGCAGTAAGTTGAAAATAAAGTTAGGCCTAATAAAAATGCAAAATATATAGCTTTTTATTTTTAATATCAACTGTACTCTTGCAAGAAATATTTTGGACGGGTTTAGCATCACGGACATCTTGCCGCATATACCTGGCAATAGCACACAAAAGTAACGGTTGGGCATGCATCGTGAATGTAACAGCGCGGCCAAAGTGAAACCTTTACACCGATCTCGGTGTCATGAGAAAATCTGATACATTTCAGACTTTATTCTTTTATTTGTTAAACCATAACAGTTTATCTGGTTTAGACAGGTTTTTTCTTCCTTGTGTAAGCACTGATTTTTTTTGTTTTTTCTTTTTCTACCGACGTCAAACCATAGAGCAAGGACAAACTTTGCATGTCTTCGTTCGGACACCGAACAGTACTGGAGGTCCATAATGCACGCAACTGAATCTATATGCACATTTACATGTACAGAACATGCGTACAGTGATAATCTATCTGTGTGGCTAGGTCCGCGAGCGGAAGTAGTGACTAACAATCTCCACTATGACTTACAGTTGCACACTTTCAGTGTAAAATTCACTTTCGCCGAAAGAGGGTTTCGTGACAACTGGCATGGGGCACGCAAAGGTTATTGTGTCATGCATCATAGTGCGAGTTTCAAGTGCTCTACATGTATGTGCGTCGTCTAGTACGAACCTTCAAACGATTTTTTAACATTAACTTATCGAAATGTCACAGTAACACAAATGAATAATTGTTTGAAGAGGCTCCGACTTGGATACAATCTTTGACAAGACTGATCCTCAAGTTACAAATCCCCCCCCCAAAAAAAAAACAGTGGATGGACTCACCATAGACCATCAAAATCACTCTTCAATTGAAAAAAAATTCCCTACCCTAAAATTTTGACCTGAAAACTTTAGAAAAAGCTACTAACCACCTACCCAACTTTTTTTTAATGTAGTAGGAGGCATGGCTATTATTTTGTTTGGCCTAACGTTAATAAATCAGAAAGATTCAGAGAAATACATGTAAATGCAGTTTTATGTTTAATTTTCTGACTCACCTTACAGAAGCTTTTTGTCCTCATTACCTATAAGCTTACAATTGGTATTAGTAGTAACTTACCTGTGGATTGTTTTAAATTGGCTTTTGTCTTATTGGTTTCTTTGCTTTTAAGATAATGATACGTATCATGTCGTGGTATCGTTACACACCCCTAATCATGATGGTCTTACTCACCAAGTTCATTGTATCTGGCATGGTTGGCCAGGATGTTATACTTGTCCCCAACCACTCTCTCCGCATGTTTAATATCGAAAGGCTGTGGGTGACCGATGTAAGGTCCGTCCTTGGGCAGGACAAAGGTGAGATTGTGGTCATCCCCCCAGCGGTACAGGATGTTCTGAAGAGTGGAACTGCTGCACTTGTGCGTCTTCATCATGGCCAGGTTGTTCAGCGGCTTGCACTTGCCCGATGCCAGGCTACCCACGGCGAGCACGCGGGTCAGGGTGGCGTTGGTCTTCACAAAGGGCGGGTAGCTGGCATTCTCCTGCTTCAAGATGTTCTCGTCGATGATGACAGGCCTCAGCCTGGGCTGGGGGTTCATCTTAAAGGAGAGCTCCCGTGCCTGGTCCACGAGGGATTTCGCACCTCCTCTCCTCTGAGCCATTATCTCAGATCGTTTTTTTGCCGAAAGAGAGTTAAAATATCGATTTGAATGCTTTTCGGCATCACTCAAATTTCCTCTTTGCATCTGTTGCATCATGGGAGGACCGTCCCTTTGTGATCTTGTTTTACTATCACTATTCTGCTTTGAAACATGCGGCACTATGTTGTTTTGCATATCAAGTCTCCCAGTCAGTACCTTCTCATTAGATGGTGGCCTGTTGGTCCGGGCCAAACTTTCTTCTCCAAGTGTTCTCTTGCTGCCTCTCCTAGTGAGGCTGTTTCCACCCTTAATTTTGTCTGTGGACTCCAACTGCTTTGTTGGCATGAGTTCCGCCAAAGTCGATCCATCTTGCCTAGGATTTGGTTCATTATTATTCATATGTTTTCTATGGGTATTCGTGAGCTCTCCAGTTGACATGCCTCTCTGTCGCGCCTCTTTCGAGCCCGACTTGCCAACTTCCGCATGAGGCCGACTGCCGCCACCCTCAAGGATGGAAAAGATGTCTGACTTATTGGCGTCCACCTCTTCCTTCACACTTGCAGTGTCTCTGCTGGTTTGTTGACCAATATCGGAGAAGTGTTTGAAGCTAAAGATTCCATTATCATCCTCATCGTCGTCATCCTCTCTCCTGAGTTGGCTCGGCTCCATAGTCCCAAAGATATCATTAACATCTCGGTGGTTTTTCCTGCGGTGCAAATGAAACACACAATTTCCTTTATATGGGGAATCTCAGGTTTGTTTCACTAATTCCACTGCTGTTGTATTTTATATTTATTTAAAGGAGTTAACTGGTAATTTTGGGGGGGGATTAAGCAGATATCTTCAACTGGAGTTGCATGATATACTATTAAAAGCACAAGAAATGGGACACCTCCCGCTGAATAGAAAAAAATCATACTTTTTTATCCGTAAACTTCCATGTTATTTATTTCAAGTATGGTGACTACATTTACATGTACTATGTAACTTCTGGTTCAACAATCACAGAAGATACAATTTCAACATGTATTTAAGCAAATACCGGTATATGTGAAACCCATTCATTGATAGTCACTAACTATATTTGTTTTCTTTGCTTTAATAAATGCCAACAAGCAATCAGCTCTATACATCTCCAAAAGGTTATTTCTGCTTGAGGTTTGGTTTGTCTCTATCTCCATTTTTTTAATCCATCAAGTAGAGTACCAGTACATGCACTCAACAAAATGTCCCCGACTTGACTGACAAATCAAATCTCTAGTAAGTAACCTGATAGTTGCACCCTCACAACCATTCCATCTTCTTCCAAATTCCCCCATCCTAGTATTGAAAAAAAAATGCTTGAAATAAGTAGGTAACCAGATGAGACAGGTCCTTCATAGGATAACCTTTAAACCATGACATTTGACAAGGTCACATTTTAAAGGTCACGAGAAGGTCAAACCAAAATACTTGCAACTGGGACTAAATGCAATTATGGGTAAAACTCTGAAGGGGCTGGCACACAGCATACCGCAGCACACTCTAACTGTGCATGTACCTCCAAAAACTGGCTCATTAAAAAAGGAGGAAACAGCAAGTGGCATCCAAGGCAACTAATGGATAAACAGCAATCTGGCAGACCGGCATGCGGCCATGGCTCATCATCAGGACCTCTCCGCAGACAAAGAAATGGCCAAGTAATTCCTCCCTCCCCCCCTCCCCGACAAATGACATCCGGTTCTCTGGCTGGCCTGTCAAGTATGACTGACCACGACCACCTGCATGCATCACTGGACGCTCTGCTTCAATGATTACAGGCAGTTGGGGAGTAATTAGAAAATCACACCGCTCTGAACTGCAATCTCTTTTTCTTTCCATTTTTACACACAAACCAAGGACACAATTTGTCATTTTTGAGAGTTGGATCAGTCACACACAAACATGTACATGTACTAGTGCATATACATGTCAACATGACACAGTAATGGGGACTGGTGGTGTTAGCAGTGTACATGTATATGTCTGTCCGAATTCATAACTTCTGGCAGTGTTTCAACACCCCAAACATTCTAGTACTTCAACAAAACACTTCATGTTCTCACAAAGTTGTTATTTCCTTTTGCGGTCAGAAATGGACAGAATGAAATCCACATGCGCCTGTCTGTCTTGACATTGAAATTTACATTTGATGTTTTTTCAAGTAAAAAAACAGAAATCACTCCAAGGTTTCAAGCCAGTATAAGCCATGGAGAACAGGTTGTGGACTGCTCAACTAAAGACTTGGCAAAATTATAAAACCACCAGGGAAACACTACAAATGTGACAACTGGTGACTTAATGGCCCCTTTATGATGTCTTACATCACATGTACCTTACCCTATGTAGTAGCAAACAGCAACAGAAAAAAAAAAGTATCCCTTCCGAGTGAACATCCCCTGACTTCCCATTCCCCTGACAAACACCGAATGTTTGCCAGGATCATGACTAAGAGTGTGATTCCTGGTCACATGCCATATGGATTGATGACTTCTGACTGGTGCTCACCAACAATTCATGTCAACAAACTTTGGAAACCACCAGCACACAATGTACATGTACAGCCATACAGCTCAGTCAAGCACGCATATGGTGCAGTCATCAGGTGGTGCCAGGTTCAAATCCCGTTCACATCAAATGTTTCAGTTTCATCTTCATTTTAAGTTCCAATAAAACAAATTGGGCCACTTCAGTTTACAACAAAAAAAAATGAACGTAACCCTATCACGCGATGAATTAAAAGTTAGATTGCATCCAAATAAAAAATGCACAAATAAGCTGTTTATCCTTTTTTATTTGCAAAATATCCTTAGTGTACAAATTTTGTCTGCTGTGAAAATTCACCTTGAGACTCGTCAACACTGGTATACATGCACTTTCACAATCTTTCATGTTGAATTATCCCTGAATTTGTGAAACAAGTAGACCTGTGCATAGATTTACAGGTTTTTTTGGAACCAGGTACCCATTTCTGTAAAGACTGGTTACCCAGGTGCCATACCCTTGAAGTTAAAGATAAATACCCCCTTCCCCCCATTAGGGCTATCGATAACATAATATGGTCAAAGCATTTTACCCAAACTGAAATATACAAACTGATCTTGCAACAACACCAAAAATGGTGATGCACCTGGAATTCTAATTGAGCAGACATCTTTTGGATGATTGTTCAAAGAAAAAAAAAATTCCATTGGAAAAACAGAGAGAGAAATTCCTTGCGTGCGGGGAACATGAGCCACCACCACCATGGTGCCTTTCGGCTACAATGGAGATTATTTTGAATTGGAGGGTTGTTCCGCTAGTGTGCCTTCATGAACTCAAATTCAAAGCAGAAAACAAATACATGTACCTCAGGAAAACATTTCCTTTGTCTTTTTTTTTTCAAGTGTTACAGTTTTTCAATAGAAACATGCACCTAGCTCAAGAATACTGCACCAGATATTGACATTGGTAGGTAATATCTGGTTACCCAACAAAGGCTATGCAATCAACCTAATAGCCAATCATGACATACATGTAATTATGTCATGAAAATCCAATGTACATGTATCAGGAACACACTGTTCCTGCTTCTCAGATATCCCTGAGGTCTTTCCACATTGAACCACCTACATGTACCTGTAACCCCATCCCAATTTCAGTTGCATAATTACATGTGCCATTTCCAACTATCCAATATCACCAATAATTTGTACTGCTACACCTTGCCCCTACTCCACTCCAGGCAAGTTGGGAGAAAAAAAAAACCACAAGACATTAGGCCTACTGCCTGTTCTATTAACGGCCCACAATCTGTCAAGCAACTAGACCACCCCAAGCATCCTGCATTCGGCAGGGCTGTATTTCACAGCATACTGGAGCATTATGGTAATGACTCCAGCATAGTACACATACCATATATCAATGGTGGACTAGACAAGTACAGAATTCCTGAACAACTCAATTGCGAACAATTACAACAACAGTGCTGGGCATTCCGAGTGGCTGGAGAAAAATCACTGTCATCATCATTTTAGAAACGTGGTGTCATGTATAAACATGGAGAAATAACAGACTCAGTTTCTCTATGGTATAAATGGCCAAATGGCATCTGCATTAACGAGACTTTCTTTCACTGAGAAAAGTAAAAACCCTGAAAGAGGAACAGTAAATAAGGATGAAAAAAATTGTCACATATGCCCCAAATTCAATTTTTCATGATTTTGAAAGGCTTCTCTATACTGTCAATGTGCTACAACTTGCAAGTACATGCACATGTACATGTAGGGTCAACCATGTAGGAATTTGCAACACTTGTACAAAATATGCGTCCAAATGGGAAAGGTACTAGTATATACGTGTATGGGTAATTCCTGATATTAGAGGTCCAAAAGTGTGACATTTACATGTCCCTGTTGCATCTGATCTTTGTTATTTGAGAAGGAAATATCACCGGCATTGTTTTCAAACTAGTAGTATTTGTTTGGCACGTAATCTGCATTAATTCCTCACTCTTAGAAATCAGAAAATGTGTTCCGAACTTACAAACTCATGTGTCAGATGTAACAGTGACACAAAAAAATGGACCCCTAATTTCTGGAATTACCCATATGCACAGTACGTACATGTGCAGCAGGCAAAAAATTTCCTGATTGGTGCCTCTGTTGATGGTACGCCCAACATGCAGTTGAATATGGTGCAGTTCCCAGCAATGAAAAAAAAAACAAATCTGGGAACTCTCCCAATCAACTCACTCAGCTCAGGTGTAAACTTCAATCTATTAGTATCCTGCCCAGTTAATGCATATTTCATGCGAGGGACGATGGAAATCTTGCAACAACAAAAAGGCCCAAGACTTTCTGACTCTGCACCTTTAAAGGCCTGAATGGAAAGGAGTGCTTGGTTCTTGTTTGGATATGAATCATGCAGGGGGGCACAGTACAACACATGGCGTCCAATTTCAGGTTGATGCGAGAGGAAAACATTAAAGGGCAAGCACATATTGTAAAACGGATATAAAAATTCTTTTCTAATTGTGTAAAAAATCACATGGTGAAATGCAAAAAAGCATTTGAGTATATAAGATAAATGAACGTGGGTAAATCCACTTTCTTGCCAAAGTGTCAAATGAACATGTCTGTATACATAGGTACAGTATGCATCATTCAGCTGAATACATGTACATGTACATATGGCATGAGTGTGTGTAACATGTATTTTCTTGAAAATTAACGGCCTACATTTCCTTGTGAAAATTATTTTCTTTCCACCAGGGAAACACTATAAATGTGACAACCGGTGGCTTAATGGCCCCCTTTATGATGTCTTACATCACACGTACTATACCCTCAGTTGCAGCAAACAGCAAAAGAAAAAAAAACATATCCCTTCCAAGTGATGATCCCCAACTTCCCATTCCCCTGACAAACACCGAGTGTTTGCTGGCATCATGACTAAGAGTGTGATTCCTGGTCACATGCCATATGGATTGATGAATTCTGACTGGCGCTCACCAACAATTCATGTCAACAAACTTTGCAAACCACCAGCACACAATATGCAGCTCAGTCAAGCACGTATATGGTGCAGTAATCAGGAGGTGCCAGGTTCAAATCCCGTTCACATCAAATGTTTCAGTTTCATCTTCATTTCATCAGTTTACAACAAAAGAAATGAACGTAACCCTATCCTGGAACGAATTAAAAGTTAGATTGCATCTAAATAAGAAATGCAGAAATAAGCTGTTTATCCTTTTTTATTTGCAAAATATCCTTAGTGTACAACGTTTGTCCGCTGTGAAAATTCACCTTGAGACTGGTCAACACTGGTATACATGCACTTTCACAATCTTTCATGTTGAATTACATGTATTCATGAATTTGTGAAACCAGTAAACCTGTGCATGAATTTATGGGTATTTTAGGAACCAGGTACCCATTTCTGTACAGACTGGGTACCCAGGTGCCGTACCCTTGAAGTTAAAGATAAATACCCCCTTCCCCCCCTCCCCCGGGCTATCCATAACAAAATATGGTCACAGTGTTTTACCTAAACTGAACAATACAAACTGATCTTTCAAAAATAGTAATGCATCTGGAATTCAATTTCAATTGAGCAAATATCTTTTGGATGATTGTTGGGAGAAAAAATTGTCTAAAAAATAATATGGTGAAAGGCAAAAAAGCATTTGAGTATATAAAACAAATAAATGTGGGTAAATCCACTTTCCTGCCAAAGTGTCAAATGAACATGTCTGTATACAGTATGCATCTTTCACCTGAATACATGTACATAAAGAAGGCGTGAGAGTGTGTAACATGTATTTTCTTGAGATTTAATGGCTTCATTTCCTTGTGAAAGTTATTTCAATGAATTTATTTTCTTGGTAAAATTTAGTGCATTTGTATACATTTCAAACTTACAAATACTCTGAAAATGTGCTTTTCTACAAATTCCATACGTGTATTGGTATGCAAGGCATTACACATGTACAAATACAAAGCATCTTTACATGTAACTACATGTACCTGAATAGTGCAGAC